ATTAGGTTACAAAATGGCATTCCTATTAACCTTTTATTAAAAAAATAGATTTTTAATAAAATTAAATAAAATAACGCTTAGAGAATATTTAAAATGTTGTTTAATTTAGGCTTTTTAGAAGTTTTCAATTTTGAACGAAAAACTGATTAAAGTTTTTTGATCGGCACTCTTTGGAGATTTACCAAAATTCTAACTGCTTTTCTTTAAATTTGTTAAAAAATCATTTTTTTTTTAATTATTTCTTTATTGCAAAGTGTACCTTTGCCAGAGTACACATTTGTACACCGATTTTTATTGATTGCAGTTTCTTGTTCGAGACCCTTTGGTAACTTTAAAATGATATTTACCAAAATCCTTGCTCCTCTTTTCGAAATTTTTTGAAAATTCTTAATTTTTTTTTAAATTTTTGTTTATCTTACCTTTGACAGAGTACACATTTGTACACCGATTTTTATAATATTGGAGTATATTGTTAACGAGACTTGGAGAATACTGTTTTCATACTGAGCACATCATTAGATTTATACAGGGTTAGCCAAAAATCACGTTTTTATATAGTAAAAAGCATAAAACACAAAACAGATTTATCTCCAAAAAAATTTATTTAATTCTATTAATTTTATTCAAAATCAAGTCTTGATAAGAATCCCATTTTGTAGCCTGATAAACATAAAAATATCTAAAAAAACATGGGAGGGTATATATCTTTTTTGCGTGTTATGCCAAAATCATGAATTTACGCTTTTGCTTTATTAAAAGAAACAATTTTTGGCTAACCCTGTATATATTAAATGATGTGCACAGTATAAACAGTATTCTCCAAATTTATTAAATTTTATAAAAATCGGTGTACAAATGTGTACTCTGTCAAAGGTAGACATTAAGATAAACAAAAATTAAAAAAAAAAAATCATGAAATCAAAAAATGTTGAAAAGAGGAGCAGCTAGGATTTTGGTAAATATCATTTTTAAGTCACCAAAGGGTCCCGAACAAGAAACTGCAATCTGTTTTTGGCGGCATTTTTATGTGACCTAAACTTCGTTCAGGCACACCGTGTCTGCCTCGCATATCATTAGAACGAACTTGAAACGCCATCAGCAGAAAAAGGCGAATAAACAAAACAGGAGCCCGTAAACAATTCGATATCTTCTGCTTGGATGGACGCAGCCTTGTTGACGTTTTCGCGTGGCCTTATAAGGTCGCTGTTGTTCCCCGAGGCAGCGTCGTCGTTTGTTTAATGGATTACTTGATCGTTACGACAGACGACTACTTGATAATGCGCGCAAAAATAATGAGGGGCAGTGGGTGAAGTTTTCTGAATATGCTCGAGATTTTCTCTTGTGTTTATGTAAACAGTTTTTTTTTATTGATTTTGTTGATTTTGTTAAGTGTGCTTCCACAAACACCTCATTAGTGCCGGGTCGCCATGTGGTGTAGATGCACGATGCCCGAAAGACTTGCTAAGCCATAAACTGACACAGCTTTAGTAATGTTATACCTATTATTTATTTTGTTGTGGTAGGTTTTTGAAAGACTTTTTACACTATAAAAAATAGAATAATTAATATTAACCACAACTTGAGTTTCAGTGTAATTACTTAAGTACCCAGTATTAAATATGATAAATGTTTGTGGTTTCCTGGTGAGGTTGATAATTATTTCAAAACAAAAAATAGTAGTAGATTCTTATTAATTTAAATAATTTCTTCTTTATGCCACATTTCCTTGAAATTTTAATAGAAAAAAACCGCGTAAAATATTAATTTTCAATTTTAACAAATATGTTTTTTTTATAATCAAATAAAATTAATATAATTAATTATGTATGAAGTAAACTTAATTTAACTGATAAAGCGATAAAAATTTAAATCATTTAACATTGTAAGCACAATTGTGCTTACAATGTTAAATGATTTAAATTTTTATCGCTTTATCAGTTAAATTAAGTTTACTTCATACTAATACGAAGAAATCAATAGTTTTGTATTGAGATAATAAAATAATATTCACATTTAGTAATATTTCGCAAGGAGAAGCACTTTATTTTACCGATTAACCAACTTAAAGCTAACGTCAGCGTGTGACTAAAAAATCTGTTGCTAACTTCAGCCCGTGACTAAACCGCCATAAAGCTACAACTTAGCAATTGTCAATGTGTATTTAAATATTGGGCGTTTTAAAGGTGAGAGCAGAAAAATAATGTTAATGCGCAACTTAATAATTTTGTGAAAATACCACGTTGCACTGTTCAAAATTTCATGACCATTTTAACACCAAATTAACACCATACATGGTCTATATCGATACAAACCAAAATGGTGTTAAATATGGTTCGTTGGCCGGTGTAAATTCAAATACTAAAATGGTGTTAATTTAACTTTTACACAGTATTAAAATAAATTTTACCTGGTGTAAATTGAACTTCTTTTCAGTGTTAAATATTATGTGTTTTTGGTCAAATTAAATCATACTACACAGAAAACCTTCAACTCGCTAGAGATAATGTTCTTAGTGCGTTCCACTAACTTAAAATACTTCAAGTATTGACAGCTGTTTCCACCTATTTAAGGTCTCTTTAGTATCGAACAACTTGTAGTGTCACACCAAAGGAAAGGACAACCTGAGTTTATATATTCTTCATGTAAGTCAACAGAGGCGAGATTTAAGAACATCACGTGATCCACACCGCCTTTGCCGCGATCGGTACTCATTTTCAACCATAATTCATGGTGTTATATTAACACCACTTGGTGTTGGATTTTGACACCATTTTAAGATTACTTTTTACACCACAGATATTTTAAACAGTGTGCAATTACACGGAAAAAAATCCCTTACTAGGTTTAAGAATAGTTCTATACTTCATGTTAGGAACTTGATTTAAGTATATTTATTATTTCTATGAGATTAGCCTATATTTAAACTAAGTAATGGGATATACTTAATTTTTAAGAAAAACTGTTACTTGATTTGAGATGAGTATTCTTGGATTGAGTTTAAAGGTATTTTATTTTAAAGAAAATTGGTATACTTAAATCAAATATACAATAATGCTTAGATGAAAGGGCTCTAGTTTTTCACTCAAAGCGGAATATTGCCACTTATTTTAAGTATTCTGTATATTTGTATGAAATTTCGGTATACTTTATTTAAATATATGTATATTTATTACAAGAACGCTTATACTTCAATTTAAGTATAAGACCTCTAGAACAAAGAATACACTATACTGTATTTAAGTATAGCTATATATATATTATTAAAACAAATACCTATATTATTAAAACAAATACCTAATTCTTCGATTAAGTAAATACAGTCCACCCTCTAAGACCGCTTCGCTAAAAGAAAAGACGCAGTTTCTGTGTTCAGTTCTGTCCTGTGTTCTATGGTGGTAGCGTGTGTTCGTTTTTTCCTTTTTCGGTCTGGATGTTATTTTTAATAAAAAATATGGGAGAAGAAACTTAAAAATTGGGGCTTAGAATGTTTACTAGACACATTTTTGGGTAAGTAAATAATATTTCATTAATTTAAAGTAATTAACTAGGCATGATCGTAAAAATGTAGTGTAAAATGGATAGGTATACTGTAGTGTAAAATGGATAGCATACGACAGGTAATAGACAATAGCACATAAACAGCAGAAAGGCTATAGCCTCCAATTCAGCTATATTATTTTTGTTTTAGAAAACGAGATAGATCTCGATATTACGGTAAACCTAAGCGAGGAGAATTTAAAGGAATTAATTCCAAAAATAAGATTGAGGATCAAGGTTGGAGAAAAAATTGAAGAATTAACACCAAACCATCTACGATGATAATGGTAGCCTTCTTAGAGACTCATTTTACAAATTATTTAGCTGATGATAATGGTAGCCTTCTTAGAGACTCATTTTACAAATTATTTAGCTGGAGATAAATTTTACTGACAACAAAAATACTTACTTAAAAAAATAATAACTATTGTGATTAAAAACCTTACCTTTACATATAGCACCAAAAATGTGATACCTAGGTACTTAAAAAAATAAAATGTAAAATATAGTATCTATGTTAATTAACCTTGAAAGAATGAATTTATATAAATTGACAGTACTTTTTCTAATACCTCTAAGACTGTTAGGTAATAAACCTATTGTGATATCAGTGCCTATTATACTTAGTACTTTAGTACATTAAAATAATTAAAATAATCTGCCACAAATACTGTTAAATTACTGTCATAACGATTATATTTTCACTTTCACTTGTATTTTCCGTAGTGGTAGGATAATTAATACAAATATTTTTCAGGGTCACGAATGTTTTTTTTTGTAAAAATTATTCCGAGTCGCTAGACGAGGGAATTTTTTTTCCAATCAACCACTTTCTTTAAGAATAGTGTAAAGTTATTATAAATATATACTATACTTTTATCAAATATAAAAAAAGGAAAAGTAAGAATACAAGCATTTTATGCAAGTAAAGCGTGTACTTACAATAAGTATAAATAAATAAATTTTAAAGAAAGTATATTCTTAAAACGAGAATACTGTAAAGATTTTACAAAGAAACTATACTTTGATGAAGTACATGTATACTTAACTCAAAATTAGTGTGTTTGTTATTTTTAGTATAGCAGTAATATTAGATTAAACCGAAGCTATCTTTATTTTATAAGAATATGAGGATACTTGAAACAAGTATAAATTTACTTGCGGAATAGGGAAACTAAGCTATACTTGGATAGAGTTGAATTTTCTTGGAATCAGTATAGATTTTTTTCCGTGTACAAAGGTTTGTTTATTGTAAACAAAAGACTTGACCAGTTTTTTTTTTTACTTTTTTGACAGCTGTCAATTTAATGTAATAGTAAAAATAATTCCAGGCCTATTTTTCACCAACTTGTATAGTTAAATTTATGTTAATTTTGTTTAAAAAAAAATAATATTTTTGCATTATGAAACACTCGTAGTATTGCTCCCAAAAATATCTTACATAATATTTTTTATTTTTACAGGTTACATAAATCATGCACCAATCACAACAAGACCTTCTCCAATCGCCGAAACAACCGAATTCACGATAACAGTTGAAAAAACAACAAGGTAAAAATCATGGGTAGCCTGCCAAACCTCCACGAGCTCGATAAACTCGAGAACGCGTACAAACCAGGACCGGCTCTGGGCCATTTGTGCGGAGGCTGCAATGGGGCTCTAAGTACGGAAGAAAAAACAAAGATTATGCACAGGTATTCGGGGCATACTAGAATCACGAAGGCCATGAGCAATCCACACGACTCCAATAGGATTGTCACATGTGATGATGTCATGATCGAGGTGAGTTTAGAAGTAACACATTAGGTTCTGTTATTGTTGTAACAGCACCAAAAAGGAGAATCCTTTTATTACCTTTAACTTACAAGCGTTATACCGTACCTTCATTTGCAAGCTAACCATAGGGAAAATACATTGTAACTGGACCAGATAAGTCTTAGTCAGCACGAAGCGAAAAACCTTGTAGAAATGATTTGGACGCGTGGACGAGTAGGCTAGCATGCGCCGTAACAGTTGACCTTGCTTCATACATCGATGCTTTATTATTGTTTTTAATTTTGTGCGGTGTAAATCTGGTAAAATTTGTTTTAGTACGCATGTCTCGACGACGCATCCAAATCATTTCTGAAAAGGTTCTCGCTTTGTGTTGACTGGCCAGTTACAATGTATTTTCCCTATGCATGGTTAGCTTGAAAATGAAGGTACGGTATATAACGCCTATAGGCGTTATGGTGTTGTGAAACACTGCACCGTGTGATATTTTTTTCCAGCACATGGCAACCTACTCCCCCATCAGCACAAAATCTCGCTTCAACTTCAACTTCCAAACGAACCCCCAAAACAGAAGGAGAGACTCGCTGAACAGCTCCATAGGTGCCACATCGGTGCGCAGACTTCTGGCGGTCGTGCGGGGCGGCAACGTCGCCTTTAAAAACAACTGCGCGCCGATTTACACGAGGAGGGTCCTGCTTTCGAACCTTGCGGTACTCTGCATGTCCCACCTGCTGGCTACCGCTGCTTTCCTGCCATTTTTGGCTCTGCAGAGTAGCGTGTCCATCTGGTTTACGCCTGTGAAGAGCGAGATAGGGGTCAATGTCAATGTGGGGTCATTTATTATGTCTATGGTTTACCTGGTGGCTGCGGTTTTTGCTTTGATGGCGCCCTATGCCGTTAAGAGGGTAGGGAGTAGTATGATGATAGTGTTTTGTTATGGTAAGTCAACACAATTTATTAATTGTTTCGGTCTCTGGTTTCGATCTTTACACTGTTCAAAATTTCAAATCGATCATTTTCAACCATAATTCATGGTGTGATATTAACACCACTTGGTGTTGGATTTTGACACCATTTTTAGATTACTCTTCACACCACATATATTTTAAACAGTGTTGTTTTGGTGTTGGGGAATATTTCTAAAATTTGTTTTCTTTGTAGGTATTATGACAATTTTCTATGCAGCGCACGTTTTTCCACATTTGTACTACATTTTGCCAGCAAGTTTAGCACTTGGTGTTTGTATAGGACTTCTGTCTGGCGCGCACATATCTTTCTTGTTCACTCTTAGTCATAGAATTACCGGGTTGTTTCATGATGAGGATGAGGAAAGTAGACAGGTACGTTTTTATTCTTCATTTGTGAAATAATATAAAGAAAAATCTTTCATTTTTTCAGGCTAGAAAAACATGCGTGGTTAGAAGAGTTGCCAGAGCTTTCCAAGGGGCCCAAGATTTCGGGCTCATCGTTGGTTCCATTCTGTCGGCCATTTTAATAAATTACACGGTCAACATAAAAAATGGAACGTACATTGCTTCGTATGAAGATAACAACACTACCATATCAGACGTAAGAATTTAAGTAAAGTAGAAATTTTGTTCCTGACCTTCCCTGATAGCACAGTTTATTCTAAGAATGTTTTTTAAACCTTCCAGTGAGAATATTCTTAGGATCATGCTATATTTCTTCTAAAGAACACGCTTAAAAGAAATATAGCATAATCCTAAGAATATTCCCACTGGCCTATAGGCAGGTTCTGAGAAGGTGCAAATTTTAGTGGTAAAAATTAATCCACTCTAAACATATGCTTAGAATGTTGAGAAAGTAATTGCTATAGAAACTTAATTTAGGAATATTCCTGGAACATTCTGTTAAGTAGATTCAGTTCAGTTAGGTACCTATATAATAGTAAAATATACCATAATCTACGTATAAAGGTACCTATACTTAGTATTAAATACTAAGTAAAAAACACAACCCAAAATATTTTTATAGTTATTTGTCAAATTAAAACAATATTCGATAACAAAAATACTTTTACTATAGGTATCTAAATAATCCGGCTTTTACATAAAATCTTCTATCCAACTTAAATACAATGAAAAATGTTTTTTTATGAAGAACTATTTGGTTCTTTCTTTTATGAAGAATTATTTTATAAGGAAATATTTTGTTTTTTTTATATTTTATTTTATGTTAAAAATAAATATTTATTAATTTGTATACCGATTTATTATTTCTGAATTAACATTTTTATGTATAATAATCCTAACTATCTTCAACTTCAATCTAATCTGACTTATCCCACAAAATTTTCCAATTTTACTTTTTATGAAATAATGTCATACAACTTATGGTTTAGAGGTCAAATTGTTTATTTAATATTTTTAAATAAATATATATTAATATGTCGCAAAATTTTTTAAGGGGACGACAAATACATTTCACTGTCATATTATTACAGTGAGGCGTATTTGTCGCCTCCTAAAGAATTTTACGAATGTAGAATCCAACATATTTAAAAATATTCTTAAAAGCTTCCTAGAAACTCCATAAGAAACCTTCTAAGAACATTCCAAAAACGTATTCTTAAAATGTTCTTAGAATGCTTTTTAGGAAGGTTTTAAGAAGCTTCTAAGAATCTAATTGCATCATTAAAAGGGTATTTATTGAATGTTTTAAAAGTCCCTAAGAACATTCTTAGCAATAAGGGAAGGTTCTAAGAATATTCCATTATTCCGAGTCATATCTTCTTAGAAGATTCTTAGAATCAAATTTTGCTATCAGGGTTATCATTCATAAACAGTAGTTAAAATGCAAAAATGATAGTTGTTTGTTTAAATGTATTAGAACCTTTTACAAAACAAGTCTTGTGAATACAAATAATTGAGGTTATGTATCTGTCACTTCAATCCTGACCGGACGTTCAAGTTTGGGTCGAAAAAGAACGATTTTCTGAAACTTTCTGAAAACACTTTGTACACCCGAATTCAAAGGATTTTTTTTACAGGATTGCTATTCCAACATTTCCTACAACCTTCCACATTGTTCGAACATCAGCCAAACGGTCGTATTTTCCAACACCTACGACTACAACTCCTATTTAGACAACATTTTCGATAGAACTGAAGATGGAAGACTCTGCGGATCGCAAGCTTGTCCGTACATCTTCCAGAACGCACAGAACGCCACCGAACTGATCAACACGAATAATTTCAACTTCAAAGTTCTTCCCATCAAGTCTTCCGAAATTTTGGCGGGAGTATACACTGGATGTCTTTTGGCAGCACTACTTTTAGGTAAGATTTACCTACATAAAAAAAATGCTCCAATACACTTAAATCGGGGTGATGTGGTGGCCAAAATTTTTTTGTTTCGTTTCAGCTGTTTTGGGTTTGGATAAAATCAAGATGCTGGTCTACCAAGACCCCATGGAACGTGGCGAGGTCATGGCTGCCTTGAGGTCTGCCAAAGAGGCCTTCTACGATAAAAAATTGGAATTAGCTGCTCCTTTGGCGGTTTTTATTGGAGCCGAGCAAGCATTGATGTATGCTGATTTTAGCAAGGTATGTTTTTTATACATAATATGTTTATATACACTCACAGGCAAAATAATCGATCCACACAAATTTTCTATGAATTTAAATTGCAATTGATGTCGAACACACCTCAAAATTAACACATTAATTTACAAAAAACAATTTGATAGCTTTTAAAAGCTGTATATGACATGTCCAAGTATGGGATGATTCAACAAAACTGTCACTGTCATCCTCCATAGGCTATGGATGGACCATAGCAACCTTAGTTCTTTCTTCATACAGGAAACTATTGGAAATTGCAATGTTGTTTTAAAAAAATCCATATTTTCCACAAAAATAAATATATCAAGGTGAACCAAAAACAAAACTGTTAAAAATAGATGTGACTTGATAATTAAAACTTAATTTAGAACAATATACGGTTTAGCCACTCTACAGAGTGTCTTAAACTTATGGTAAAAAACATTTTTTTGTTTAAACCTGTATATTATATTATTTTTTAGTAATTTTTAAAATGTAAGCGATTCTCCATTAATTTATCTACAATATTCTTTAATATTTGTTTAAATCCGAAATCAAATAAAAAAGTTATTTGCGATTGAAATTCATCGAAAATTTGTGTAGATCGATTTTGCTTGTGGGTGTATATATTTTTATTTTTTTTTTAGTCATACGTGGTGTGTACTTTGGGTATACACAGGTTAAACCTAGTTTTCCTGGCTATGGGTATATTGCAATCCATTGCAGCTTGTACTCTGAGTATGTTGCTGAGGAGTGTAAGAAGATACTACATTGTCGGTAAGCAAATTTGGAGATATTTCAAAAATTATTTTTCTTAAACCAATCACAAACCACATGAGCAGCGCGAACTACCAAGTTATACTTAAAATAAAAAAATATGGATATCGGAAAAATCTAAATAGCTTAAGAGAAATTTAAGATGGTTGTGAAGAAAAATGTATTTTGTTGCGCAACAAAACGCGTTTATACACTTTTGGGTTAGAATTTTTCAAATGTGACGTGTTGGAGCAATTATGGCTTCTAAAAATAGTTATAGTCGCGGCCAAATCTTCGTGGGTGTACGCCATCAACGGCATATGACGCTATAAACTTTTTTCTTCAAGCAATAATAGTTATTTATGTCATTAGGTTAAGAAGTAAGGCTTTTTGTGCTAAGCTCAATTGAGCGAAGCACAAAAAGGCACTTCTTGGTTGAATGGCATACAACATTTTATCTTCCAAGCACTTTATACCTATAGGTCAATTTAATTCAACATCAAAGCGGCCTAACCTCACTTTTTTAGAATCTCATTTATTTATTAGCTAAAGATTACATTAAATGTACAATAATTATTATTGCTTTTAGAAGCAGTAATAGTTTGACAATACCTAGCTACATGATTTAAGTAGAAATGGATTTTTGCTAATACATTGAATTCAATTAATTGTTTAATAAATAGGTAGGTATCTAATTTCAATTTGTTTGGATTTTTATTTAAAAAATAGGTAGTTTGGAATGTTTAAGCTGTGTTTAACATTTAATTTCACTGAAAAGTTAAAGCAAATTAAAAGATAATTTAAATTGTAGAAAAAGAATCGTTGGTTGCCTAACCTCACTTTTTGTTTTATTCATATTTAATTTTACAATAATTTAATGAAAAATATTAAACATTAACAGTAAAACAAACAAATTAGTGCTTATTATAAATAAATTAAACCAGTTTAGTACGTTAATTTCTTAGAAAAGGATTAATTTGTCAAAACAATACCCCTAACGAGAAAAAATCGAACTAATTACTTGCCTCATAAAAATTTTTATCGGCCTAGGCCATAACAAGGTATTTCTTTATCAAATGTTGACAACAATAAAGTTTAAATTATAGACCGCGTGGAGATAAATACTCTTTTAAGCTAAAATATTGTTTCTTGTCTCTAATAATTTTTTACCAAAAGAGTTGACTACCATTAATGACATGCACCCATAAAGATTTGGCCGAGACTATATAAGATCATTTTTTTTTTAGTAATTGAAATACCTACAAAAAAAACTTCAATCTCTAAGCAGGTGTTACTACAGTAGTGGTTACCCCTACAATATTTAAAGAGTAGAGGGGTCGAATGATACCTCATTTTAAAGACCTTTAAAATCACTACATTTTGCTGTATATAGTTGCTTTATTCTTGATATATTTGAGAAAACTTTATTTTTAATTTATTATCATCTAAATTAATATATTTTGACACAAATTAAAATGTATATTTACTTAGACCTCTAAAAAATAACAAGGTACTGAAAATACTTGATCCACGTGGGCGTGATTTTTATGCGTTTTTTACACATGTCTATAACCACAATAATTATTAGTGTGTACCTAATTACTAGAGACCGGATTTGGTTGCCTTTTTACTTGCCTACACTGCTATAAAAATCAGATTTGTGAACACGAGTCTGTATTTTGTTAATTTTATTTTGTAAAATTTTAACATCATCTTATCTATTTTGCGTTCATAATGATTTCATTATAGCACCGCTTTCGCTGCTGTAATGAGATACTTTATCCCACCCAAAATTTTGATTTTTTAGGTTGGCTATACTTTAATCAGCATAATATTTTGCATATTGGTTATAATATTTTTATGATTTTTCTAGTACTTACTTCTGGCAATAAATTTTGTTTAACAGCAAAAAAAATCCTTTTTTTCTTCTTTAACATTAACAGCCGCTTATTGTAAATAAGTAAAATAAGGACGGCATGGCGAGTCGATTTTGACATTAACTGTCAAACCAATGACTGTGATACCAACTATCTAAAGTAAAATTCGACCAACTTAAATTTAAGGTATAAAATTAATTTTTTTATATAGAATTTTTGCAAAATAGATAAAATTTTACTTTGTAAAAATGCATAAAACTCCGGTATCGATGCACATATGATATTTAAATTAACTCGTTAGCATATTTCGTTGTGCATCTTAAATATATTTATCTATAGATAAACCGCAACATTCGTAGTTTATTGTCGTCTTTACGATTTACGAGTATTTAAATAAAGTAGTTAACAAGTAGGTAATCGTTACACAAATAAACCAAGTTTATTTATTTAGGTATTTACGTACGGTAATTTTCAGTGACCCCCCATTATTTACTGAACATACGGTACGCTGATTTTAGACCATTTATTATATTATAATTATAATTGTTACAGCTCGTCTAAAGGTCGTCAAAAGAATTTAACTGTAACATTATTCCGATCAAGGCGACTATATTGATAAAAAAAAATTGTCTTAAAATGTACATTGAACATTTTGTTTATTTTTTCTGGAACCATATATATGGTAAAATTTAAATAAAATTGAGTTTTTTCTTGGAGGTGTTGGTTTTACCTTCCATGCTTGTTTGATCATGGTGCTCTTGGTATGGAAACCCATAGAGGATGACCCAGCTCTATTTTACGTCATTTCCGCTTCATGGGGCGTTTGTAATGCCATTTGGGAGATGCTGAATTTTAGTAAGTACCAAATCAGTTATTTATCAAACATTAAAAGATTATCTTGATAATAATTCAAAGTTCCTATCAAAAATTGCATAGGACATGGTATACCAAAATATTTTTAAATACTACATAAAGTTGTCAATAAAATTAGTATATATACTAATTTTACTGACAACTTTATGTAGAATTTAAAAATATTTTGGAAAATAGGCTTGGTAGGATTATAAACGCTTTATAAATTTGAAATCGATGCCATTGGAACATTATTTTCTATAAATGTGCTACGTTATTCAAGATAGTTGGATTGGTTTTTCTAATTAGTTTGTTTAAGTCAATTTTCTATAATTTGTTTGAAACAGTAAGATTTTTATTTAACCATTTGCTTAATATTGTCAAGAAAAGAGTTAAAATCTGTTGTTAAAAATATTTCAAAAATAAATGTTACTCTTTAGTACAATTTTTCAAATAATTCGTATAAATATATACGGTGGTTAAAACTTAAGTATAGGACGAACAAAAATGCCAACCAAAACTGATAACATGTATTTATCAAAATCCCAGCTGAACCTATTTTAAAGTTTTGCAAATTCTATATATTATTTTGCAATTATTGTACTAAAACTACCTGTACAATTTTAATAAAATTAAGCAAAATAATAAACTTTGTATCGTTTAAATTACTTTACTCCCCAGTATTAATTTATTGAGTCACCTATTATTTTTTACCACTCAAAACAAACACTTAAAAAAAAACGAAGATTTAACTCTTAAATATTTTTTATAACAAAAAATACTGGAAGTTTGTCTATGAAATAATTACAACTTGCAAATTTTGTAAAACAATAATTATAATTGCGTTATAACGTATAGAAATTTTTTTCATAACCACCTTATAAGGTGGTTATGAAAAAAATTTCTATACGTTATAACGCAAGTGACATTTTGCTTTAGTTGTTTATTTAATGTATACTTTATAGAGTTAAAAATAGTATTTTAAAATGAAAATTAAACCGAAATTCAAGTTAAGCCATGAAGAAAATCGAAAGAAGGTATGTGCTGGCTGTGGAGACAAAATTGTTTTTGGTAATCGAAAAATTCAGAGTTTAGGATTTCTGAGAAAATATAAAAATTACTGCAGACTTTTTCAAACGAACACTTTAACTTAAGTGATTCAAAATTACCTACTTCAATATGGTAAAAACGGTATTTTTCCATAGCCACAATTGCCAAATTTTCAAAATTTAGAAATTGCTAGAGAATTTCGCAGCATGTGCTTTATCTGCAAAATGGCAAGATATAAAGGGCATAAAAAATGATTAAGGGAAGAGGACGGACGAACGAACTAAAGTTTTGATATGCTCTTCCTTTCTAGGGGATATCGCTAGATGTAAGAAGCATGTTTGTACAGAGACTGAAGAATTTAAAAATTCTGTTTCCATGTTAAAAACAATTCCATGTAAAACCCAAGAAAAAGTTTTACTAAAAATTTAAGGCAAGCAGTAATCGATTTTCCTTCAAAGAATCTTTAGTTATTTATTAGTTTTGTATTAGATACCTTAAAACAATAAATAAGATATTGCAAACTGTATTTTACAATATTTTGTATTTATAATGTAATTTATCCATATTTCAGTCATGTATCTGCCAAATTTTTAAAAACATTTGACAATGGTACTAGAGTATTTTATCGAAATGGCATAAACAATTTTAAAATAATAAGAAATATGCAAAACTTTAATAAGGGATCAGCTGGGATTTTGATAAATACATTTTTGTGTTACCAAAAGAGTCTATAATCAGATTATGCTATCAGTTTTGGTTGGCATTTTTGTTCGTCCTATACTTTAGTTTTGACCACCGTGTACAGTACAACTTTGAGTAAGAATATAAATTTTACAATATTGGACAATTTGTTTGGGTGTGAAGCATCACACCACTTGAAAATGGCATAAAGAACTCATGTCATAAGACCTTTTGTCGCACTCGTCTATTATTATATATCTTTAATATATTATTCTGGTATGATTGTGAATAATGCGGAAAAAACTTGTACTTTTTTATTAATAAATTGAATTTTTTAGCACTTCTGACTGGCCTATACTCAGACAACTGGGAATCTGCATTCGCAAACTCCTACTTCTACAGATACATGGGATTCTCTGTTGCGTTTTCACTACACTCCCTCATGTGCAATTACTTCAAGCTCTACTTTCTCGGCTTCCTCATGTTGGTATCAGTGATTCCGTTCACGTGGCTCGAGATCAAGTTGGAGAACATGCGCAAGGGAAAGAACATCACCAGGTTATGACGCAAGTTGAACTTTTGGTGATCCATGGAGATTTTTGGTGATGCGACATATCAAAGTTTTTTGGAGAAGTTTTAACGTGATTTAGGTGAATTTTACGTTTAGGTACGGTAAACCACATAGTTATTGGACACACGGAAAAACATGCAAAAAGTATAGTAATTGGATATTTTATATAGTAATTGGACACATGGACCATACTTATTGGACATACAATTTTTATATAAAGATCAAATAACATAAATTGTTAAATATTTTTTAAAGATAAATTGCTGTTTTAGGTAATTTTTTTTATTTCGTTTTTGTAAATATCATATGATTCATATATTTCTTTCTCGGATTCCTCATCCCTTTTCTGGATTCTGAAGGTAACTACTAATTCCTTGGTCTGACTTCTGAAATAGTTTGTTGCAAATATCAGTGTGGTATCTCTAGGATGATTTATATATATCTAATATTTTTTCGGGTGGTATGTTAAAAGTATTTTCCGAATTTATTAATTTTGTTGCCTTTAGTTTTTTATGTTCTCTATCATGCACTGTATTTAAATCACTGTTATTCTGCAAGATGTCCTGTGACGAAGAAACCACTATATTACTTACTCTCCAAAAATGATTTAGTCAAAAGCAGCCACTAATAATTCTCGTCAACAGCATTTAGCAGTCAATTCCTGAAATATTATTAGCTGAATGCGAAAATGTCGTCAAAAGTTATAAAAGTGGAACCGTTTTTGAAATATAGGTAATCAATTTTACATATAATATGAAATTGACTATATCTCAAAAACGGCTTAACTTTTATAGTTTTTGACGGTCTTTTCGGATTCAGGGGACAATTTTACATACATGGTAAATGTCCGGGATACAAATAGAGTTTGATATTGGACATATGTCCAATAAAAGAAATTTACATATTTTACCAACCAGTAATTGGACACTGGCCATTTTACTGTTTGTTTTCAGAATTATAATTAAAACGCATTAAAGTGACAATGTTTAAACCTTGAGGAACATATTTATACACTAATCTGTACACTTTTTAGAAATATTTTTTATTGCAATTTAAACACAGCCCTGCTCTTAACAAAAAACAAAAATCTTACCACCAAAGTAACGTGCGAACTTTTTTGTCCTATATTGTACCAAAAATAAAGTACTTCTATATTATTACCGACTGAGATATTTATAATTGTATTCAGCGCCATCTAATGATTTGACTTTAAGGTAACTATTTATAGAACTCTTGTTTTTACAATATTAATGTTAATTGTCCAATAACTATAAAGTGTCCAATAACTGTCTACCCAGCTATTTTTCAACCGAATAAAAATAAAATTTCATTTTCAGACAAACTCCAAACTCTTCATCATAGATGATAGGAAATACCTACCCTACAAAAAATTGTATGATAGAGATATAACTAAAGCTTTAATATTGTTAAAAACGTTGTAAAATGTTGACTGTACATTAAAAAATCCTTTAAAAAAATTAAAATATTTTTTTTGTAAACTGATAATTTTTTAAAGGGATTTTTTGCACCTTAGACTAGAGTTACACTCTTAGACTTTTAGTAAATTGATGTGATAATTTATTTTACCCAAACAATCATCCTAGCATGCCAAAACATAGATTTAAGTAACTTAAAATAAAATAAATGCAGGATTAATATTGGAAATCGCCTTGGAAACAACAAAGGGGGGGGGGGAATGTAAAATTTGTGTCAACTTTTGGTTTTATTTTAATTTTTAAATACATGATCATTTAACTTGAAACTCAAGGGGGGAAATCAATCGGTACTAAAATTGGTCCTCATACTCTCCTCCTTATAGGGGGAACAGGGGGTAACTTTAAAATTTCCAATTTTTATTGCAAAATTCTCTTGTGCTTGTTCATTATTATACTAGTATAATAAAGAACAACTATTTTTACACACAACTGGTATACTTAATACATAAATATGATTTTAACCATTACTCACATATTAAATCAAACTTAACCTCAAAAACAAAACACAATGTGTTTAACACATCTAAGGCGATTGAAAATATAAATCTCTGTAAAGAATAATTTTAAATAAGTTAATGATTGAGGAATTGAAAAACAAACTTTCTTACGTATATTTAAAAAATAACGTACTTTTTATAATTAATTTTATGTGTTAAAAAAACATTTTTATACATAATATACAGGGTGTTTCACATTCGTGTAGTTTCTGGAAAGTCTATTTTTCTAAAATATTTTTATGTTATTCATTTTTTTCGTTAAAATTTGAGAAATGCGCTTCAATAAAAAATAGCCTATAACTTTTTTATTTTTACGTTTGCGAATATGGCGGGTGAAATTTTTGGAATCTTAAAACTTTGCTTAAAAGATTCCTTGTCAATTCTTTAAAAATTTTCAATATAAAAAAGTTATTAACTTTTTAAGTTAGCCACGAATGTGAGACACCGTGTATATAAATAGGTAAACCTTGACAATTATTTTTTAAATTAGTAAAAAAAACTAGTAGGCATTAACATTATAGGATTGTGACTGCAAATGAGGTTTTTATTAAAATTTTAATCAATTATGTATGAAGTCATCTAACAATTTGCATATTATAGCCATTTCTATCCCAATTATACACCGACAATCTTTAATTTAATATTTACAAACATTTAACTATAAATCAATCATAGTTTTAATGGAGACCTCGTAGAAACATATACAGAGTGGCGCAAACAAGTTAGTTATAGTATATTATGTATCAAGTTTAATAAACGCCATTTTATACACGCATTTAATTTAGGCGCGAGCGAGCTTGCTTAAATTAATAAGTGTATAGAAAAGTTTATAAACGAGGTGCATACTATACTTTTTCTACGACAAATTATTAATATTATCTTAAAATGATTTAAATCAAACATTTTTATAGAACGCCATCTATGAAACAATAGGGGAATCTGTGTGTCACCGTCAAATCTCAATTTTTTATATTTTATAAACACAGATTTTAAAGGTTATAAATCGAAATGTATTTCTTGAAAATTGACAGTTTTTCACGGTGAAAGTAAAGAAAATGTTTTATGAGCACTTTAAAGTGGAGTCCGTGCCTGAATTTAAGTTATAGTTTACTGCCGGCGAAATTAAAAGGTCAGTACAATGTTCATATAAACTTTTCAAATATTGGCGTTGAGAAACTATTTAATACTTTTGTATTTTTGTATTGAGATAATAAAATAATTTTCACATTTAGTATTATTTTACAAGAAAGGCACTTTATTTTAACGATTGTATGACATTTGACAACTGTCAACTAACTTAAAACTAACTTCAGCCCGTGACTAAAAACCTGTTGCTAACTTCGGCCCGTTAATAAAGCGCCATAAAGCCACAACTTGTCAATGTGTATTTAAAAGGTCACTTAGTGTCATGGAAACATGTACGATAAAGGGCGTTCCTGTATGTCAAGGAAAAAGCAACATTTTAACCTATTTTACTTTGGTGAACATTTGATGATATAAGCTTTAGCTCCCTGTTTTTAATTTTTAATACATATATACTTGTTTGGGCCACTCAAATTATTTAAGATAAAATTTCTGTGATTCTTGTATATATTGGATGAAAACTCAATGGGTTGTTATTACACCCTAGTGTCCTTATAAAATAATATATACCTATTTGTTTCTAATAAATATATTAATATAAATGTATATTTTCTTCTTAAACCATTGGTAAATACGAAGTAAAAGGAATTTTCTTTTTTCAGGTGTTAAACCAATTTAAACCATTGTGTGGCGTTTTGTTGGTAAACAAATCAGTATTAAAATACAATGGTGGTTTTTTATTCATTTAGCTGTTAAGTCTATTTTTAAGTAGTATTTTATTATTTTCAACTATTTATTTATGATTTACAAAATTGTACAAAACAGTGGATTGGTAGAAGAGCACCAATAGAATGGCCACACAAATCTCCAGATCTGATACCATTAGACTTTTTCTTACGGGGTCACTTGAAATCTGTGGCCTACAAAACTAAACTTCATTCTATTGAAGATCTACCACAAGGATTAAGTACTAGAAATGTTTTGGGTATTAAAAGAAGCGCTGGAGTAATAAAAAATACACATATTGCTAATAAAGTAACTATATTTCATTTTTAATAAACAAATTACAATTTTGGACCCTATAATATGCATCTACTTGTTAAATTTATTTTATAATTTAAAATCCTTGTACCTCGTTTTTAAACTTTACCTACTCATAAACCGGATAAAAAATCAACAAAAAACCTTTTGGTATACCGTATTTTCATTTTTGTTGTAAACTCTGCAAGTGGGGGGATATTTCTTCAACGCCAACAAAGCTGCAGTGTCATGACAATAGATATTACGTCAAAATTTGTGCTGATTTGGAGGTGAAATATTGGAATAACAAACTTTATTTTATCTTTTTAAAAACGCTAAACGTACAGCTTAGCATATCAAATGCAAATGATGCTTGAAGCCTTGAACAGCATGTCGTTGCCGCTGCAATATATCCCCACTCTCTTTGAAGGCGTTCGACTGTCTACGGAAGGTATATTTATACTTCAAATGTAAATATTGTATTGAATAAGTTGTATTTAGTTCTATATATTAAAAAGTTAGAATCAGTATATAGGTAATATTTTTTTCATTGTATAAATGCAAAATGGTAAAAAATTGAAAACTACCACTAGGTACCGGTGTATTTAAAGCAATGAAATTTTATTTTTAAGGAACCTTTGTTTATATATAGGGTTTACCGTTATTTTACAGGCATTTCAATTAAAAAATAAATATATTTTCTTGTTATGGACGTATGAATAATGAAAATAAAGTTTATTGTCTAAAAAATTTACAAGGACTGAATATGGCGGTAAATATACATATGACATTTTAGCACTTAATATTTCGGAGAGTTTTGGACAAGTTGGCAGGGTTGTACAATTTTTGTACAAAATTATTTATTTGATCCCAAAACAATATTTTTTTAAGAAGGAACAAAACAAAATTACAACACAATAGAAGACCTTGGTAGTTAAACTACTTTTTCAAGTGAGAAATGAAAATAAATCAAAGAGCTCTGTATAACATGATTTAATTTGGTAGTAAAAAATTTGCGTCAAATTTATTATGAATATTGGACAAAATGAAAAAGTCACTGATTCAATGTTGCCAAATTGCCAAAAACTACTCCTACATTCTAAAATTGTGCTGTAACAATAAAATATCCAAACCCAACAACATTTCAATAAACATTTGCTCGTTTATTATTATTATTACACTCACAGGCAAAATAATCGATCCACACAAATTTTCGATGAATTTCAATCGCAAATAACTTTTTTATTTGATGTCGGATTTAAACAAATATTAAAGAATATTGTAGATACATTAATGGAGAATCGCTCACATTTTAAAAATTACTAAAAAATACACGTACGTTTATAATATACAGGTTTAAACAAAAATATGTTTTTTACCATAAGTTTAAGACACTCTGTAAAGTGGCAAAACCGTATATTGTTCTAAATTAAGTTTTAATTATCAAGTCACATCTATTTTTAACAGTTTTGTTTTTGTGGAAAATATGGATTTTTTTAAAAAAACATTGCAATTTCCAATATTTTTCCTGTTTTCAGAACTAAGGTTGCTATGGTCCATCCATAGCCTATGGAAGATGACAGTGACAGTTTTGTTGAATCATCCCATACTTGGACATGTCATATACAGCTTTCAAAAGCTATCAAATTGTTTTTTGTAAATTAATGTGTTAATTTTGAGGTGTCTACTTTTTAAAATGTCTCCGACTGATTTTGCCCTTTGTACTTTACTTCTTGTGAGGTTTAAAACACTTGCCACGTAATACTATGACCGTCCATCCTGGATTAAATTAATGGCTCTGACAACATCAGTCGGAGACATATCCATTTTTTAAAGTAAGAAGACACCTCAAAATTTAAACATTAATTTGCATAAAACAATTTGATAGCTTTTGAAAGCTGTGTATGACATGTCCAAGTATGGGATGATTCAACAAAACTGTCACTGTCATTCCTCATAGCCTATGGATGGACCATAGCAACCTTAGTTCTTCATACAGAAAAATATTGGAAATTGCAATGTTTTTTTTTTTTAATCCATATTTTCCACAAAAATAAATATATCGAGGTCAACCAAAAACAAAACTGTTAAGAATAGATGTGACTTGATAAATAAAACTTAATTTAGAACAATATACTGTTTTGACACTCTACAGAGTGTCTTAAACTTATGGATAAAAAACATCTTTTTGTTTAAACCTGTATATTATAAACGTACGTCTATTTTTTAGTAATTTTTTAAAATGTGAGCGATTGTCCATTAATTTATCTACAATATTCTTTAATATTCGTTATTTGCGATTAAAATTCATCGAAAATTTGAGTGGATCGATTATTTTGCCTGTGAGTGTATTATTAAAAGGAGTTCATATGTGAGGGATCTTTTTAAAGTTGAGCTAAAACGCAGTAATTATTTAGATCCTGAGATGTTTTTATTCTATAGTTCCTCCTCATTATTTCGTATTTATTTACATATGGATATAATGAACAGACATCAAAATAACACATGTTTTCATCTTGTTTTTGATATTTTCAGTATATTGAAAAAATCTTTGGTACAAAAATATCTTGCAAATAAAATTATTAGTGCGGTTTTTCCAATTTAAAAGAGCAACCTCAAATTCGAACACCCTTAATGTTAGAAAAATAACATCTCTACTAAACGCGATAAACACTATCATCATCTATCTACACGGAACTCTCGTTGGGATGCGTCGCCATGACGACCACATCGGCCGGGTAAACGTACTTTTTGCGCCTTAGCAACCGCGGGGAGGGCGTTCTTCGGTCGCCGCCGTTGCTAGAGCCCAGGCTGCTTAGCAACGGCAGCTGCTCTGTCCTCGAGAAACAGTCGAACGGCTGTTTCGTCATCAGATCGTCACTTGTTTTAAAACTAGGTTCACTGCTCGAGTCCGAACTGTGCTTTGAGTAGAACGCGTCCTCGTCCTTGGTCGCGTTGGGTTTGGATTCGATTTTTTCCGATTCTTCGTTGAGGTGTTTGTTTTTCGACGACAGGATGGATACGATGGGGGCACTCGGTGAGGGGGTGGGGAGCGGGGGGAGCTTGGGGGGTTCCGGTTTGTTTTTCTGGTGGTTTCGGCCTCTGAAGAGTTTCTTCCACTTTATTGGCGATGGAGGGATGGAGTCGCAGCTGATGGTGGAGACAGTCACCACCTAAAATTAAAACAAATGTTGAGACCACCACGGAAAGAAATATATATACAGGGTGTTATGTAATTAATGTTATATATTAAAATGGGTTATTCCTTAGGGTCCATAAAGAAGCACCTGAAACTTTTTTTTTTTAATTCCAAAGTCTAAAAATAATTTATAATAACCTTTATCCTACCAAAAAGTACGCCACTGATCGACTAGGAACTTTAGGTTAATCTGGTGGATTTATTATGTTATGGTTGGTAACAACAGTGTTTCCAAAATCTCTCAAAAACGTTGACAAACATTGTTTAAATTTAGCTTAATTACAAAAATGGCAAAATTAACAATGCAAATGTCATGTTATGGTTATGTCATTTTTGTACTGAAGGTAAATTCAAACAAAATCTGCCAACTTTTATGACAGAATCTAGTGCATTTCTTTTAAATTGTAGGTTATGTTTTCAAATTGTAAATATCTTAACTAAGGGAAGTGCTTTTGGATTTATTTACACAAATTAAATGTTTAAAGTTTAACCTGTGAACTGGTCCCAATTTCATCTGAGTAAGCAGAGAAAAAAACTGATGAAAAAAATAATTTTGTGGTTATGGATTTCAAATTTCAAAGGTACTAAATTTTCTAATCATTGCTTAAGCTAATAGCTGGATCAGTAAATAAATACAGAAGGATATTAGAGCTTTAAGGGCATAAAACTTTTGTATTTATTGAGTTTTTATTTATTTTTTGCAAGAAAAATTTTTAGTAACAATTTTTTACATCTGGCAACGCATAGCTACTTTGTTGGTTGGTATCTATGTACTCACAAAATACAGGTGTGCAGAGGTAAACAAGTGTGTAACCAGGCGTATCACAAAAAATATAAAAAACTTCTAATGCATATTTTTTCTTTATCTTTGGAAAAATGTTTTTTTAAATATTTTTCCTTTATTCCTTATGTCAAAAGGTATTCAGTATTTTAATATATAACATTAATTACATAACACCCTGTATATACTTTAATTCCACCTTCTTAGTAAATGACATTTTATAGGTTAATTTTGTTGTTTTTGTATCCAAGTAAACGATACATTATGGGAACAGACCTGTAATATTTTACGGGCTTGTTTAAAAGACCTGTAAAGTTTTACAGGCTTGTAGAAAAGCAATTTATGAAATGAAATGTCACATTTGACATATTAATTAACACTTTAAATTTAAAAATCGTTATCTAAAGGTGAAAATAAAAGTTTGTATGTGTCACGCTTTGCAATTAATCTTTACTAGGTTCACTGGATTATGGGGTTTGCTCCTGCGTCGCTCACCCCACAAACTTCCAGCTCGCCTGTAAAGATTCATTTACAAAGCATGCCACGTAAATAACTATTACCCACCCCACTATCACAGCTTATTACGAAGATCAATATTCCATTTAATAATCAAATATTGAATTGATTAAAATAATACAATTTTTGATAAATTCAATATATTTTTTACTAACTATTTAGATAAATTTTGCACGAATCAATCAAATGATCTGATAAACTTTATCCTAATTATTCTTTTTGCCAAATTTTTTATAACTACTATTAAAAAAATAGATTAAACTGACCTAAAAAGTGCTTAATTGAATCCAAGAATTGGTAAATTTAAGAAAATATTATGTGGATTCTAGAAAATCGTAGGCGAATTTAATTTAATTTTCACTATAATTATTCTAAATTTTGTAGTGATTTATAAAACTTATTTGCTGCTATTTATCACGGTTTGATACATTTAAACCTAGCAAAAAATTCAATCGAATGAATTATTGATATTAGTCTAATTTTGGATTGGCGCTATATTGATCAAAAATTTGATTGTAATACTACCGTACTGGATTAATTGTATTCAAATTTCTTTGTGGGTATACCCACAAACATAACATATTTTTACCTGTGGGTTGAAGGTAACATTTTTGGTGATGTCAGAAGGTGTTCGACATACACTTCCCGAGTCAATGCTACTGCTGGCCTTGCTGTGTTGGTAGAAGTTCGAACGGTGCTCTTCATCCAAACACAAATCTATCGCCAAGTTTGATAAAATATCGGGATCATCGTGAGGCGAAGTCGGAGATAAAATCTAAGAAAATAACATTGAAAGAATCGAATGTTTTTCGTTTTGAGTGCGTCCCACCAACTTCAAATACCGACAGACAGCTGTTTCGACCTATGTTCGGTCTCATCAGTGTCGGGCAACTTGGTGTAGTGGAAGACATCCAAAACAAAGGACTCCCTGGCTTATATACTGCGTTGGTAAGCCAACAGAGGCGAGATGTAAGAACATCCCGCTATGCAACCAAGACTGCACACGGCAAATGGGGTAGTTAAATTTTTTCTGACCTATACTGTTTATGGTTTTATTCAAGGCGTTTTGCTATATTAAACATTTCTGTGAAATCAGAATTTCAATTGAGTTTACCGTTTTCGAGATATTTACAAAAAATATAAATTTTTATGACGTCACAAACCTCGCCATGTGACCAACATTCTAAGATTTCTATTGGTTGAAAATTACCCTGTTGTCAAGTTGTCTTGTTAATGATTTCATTCGGTTATGTCAAAAAATACCCGAAGAGGTTATGTACAAATACTGTCACTGTCAGTTGAGTGAAAGATGGTCACCAAATTCATTAAGTACCTATCTTCCTTATTACGAGGTATCATATTACTGTTTAATATTTTAGAGTCCAAGAAATATCTAAAAGAATATAAAGAACTAGGCATTATACTAATGAAATGCATTTACGACAAAATATGATTATAATTATAGGTACTTACTTTATTTGTTTAAAAGCTCCAATGTTCAATGTAACCAACCATTCCACAAGATTCCTCTGCTTTGGAGTCCGTTATTAATAAATCACTTATCTAATATCAATTACAAATAACATAACAATAACATTGATTTTCAATAATCTAAATTAAAAAAAAAACATAACCCGAAAAAAAGAAACGTCAAAAAATCAATTCTTCTTCTTCTTCTCAACTAAAATTATAGATCAAGTGGTTTTAAAACTTAAATATTATAACGTGGCGCCATCTATCGTAAGAATCTTAAACTAAACACACTGGCAACCATAGAAAAAGCTGGCAACGTTGTCAATAGCCTAGTGACGTAATTAGGAGATTTTTTTTGTAAATATCTCGAAAACGGTAAACTCAATTAAAATTCCGATTTCACAGAAATGTTTAAATTTTTTAGTTAAATTTTTTCTGACCTATACTTTTTATGGTTTTATATAAGGCGTTTTGTAATTTAAATTACAAAACGCCTTGAATAAAACCATAAAAAGTATAGGTCAGAAAAAATTTAACTACCCCATTGTATCGCAGATACTAATATACTTACTGGAGGGTAATATACAGGAGAATTTTGAAAATTTGAAACCAGGGGACTTTCACAAGGCTGTTCTTGTAACAAATCAAAATGGGTCTCCAGGAAATTCGATTCTGAGTTGAAAAAATCCTTACAACCAGCACTGGCTAACACGTTGTCCAAAATGTCTTCGGCTGATTGAAATTCGCTGTCACTATTGCATTCTTGCTCGCTAAAAGAAAAGTATTACGTTAATAACTGTTGTCCAAGATTTATAAGTAAACGTACCAGTAGTTTGAGTCGGTCGTTTTGCAGAAACTCTCTGTATTTGAACAACAACGGTTACTACTTGAAGCTGATTCGTAGCTGAGGTTGCTGCTGGAAGAACTCTCGGCATTGTTGTTATTAATGAAGAGTCTTGGAAATATTTTGGCTTTTTGGAAGTTCCTCACGTTCCTGATGTCATCTGCACATGTGCTTAAGCTACCTATTATATGTGGGGTTCGCCTCATCAACTAAAAAAAAAATAAAAAAAAATAATTGGAAAGTAAATCAGATGATTATCTAACCTTGGGTGTATTTATTTCCACAACCACGCTAGTCGCGATCAAGCTAGTTCGCGAACTAATCGAACTCAATTCGCTTAAACTTTCTGGACTTGCTAATGGGGCAAGCCCGAACCAGTCGTCGTGAATCAAGTCGACTTTCATTTCTGGACTGGTGGTCCTCTTTAAACTCAGGCTGAAACTCTTCGTCAGAGGTCTATGCGACCCGTGTATGGGCAGTATGGAGGATATCTGGTTGTTGTTGTTGAAGTTCCAAGACGTCGCCGAGCGCATATCTTGTTTCGTTTCAAATGATGGGGTGTATTTCGCGCTCACGGGACTCTGCAGTTTGTTTTTCGCGTCTTTTGAGGTTATGCTGGATGGGTGGGATTTGGTGCTGTGAAATCCGTTGGTTACGGATGAGGTGTTGCTTCCTGGGCTTTGAAGGGAAGTGAAGGATGTTTCCAGGACTAAGTTGGGGTTTGATGTGTTGGCAGTCCAAAATTGGCTTGTGGTTTCGGAGGTTGATGATGATCTCTGAGGTTTTTTCGGACCGGTTGTGCTTACAACCTATAACAAGGTAAAATGACTTGACAGTTAAGTTTAAACAACGGGCCAATAACGTTTACTCGTGTATTTCATTTTTTGCTGAATACCAATTCATTTTAATCTTATTGCAAAACTCTCTTCAAGATGCTCCATGCGTAGGACTAAATTGACATGCTTTCCATTTGCTATTTTCTAAATGTACTTTTTCGTTACCTACAAGCTCTTTCCAAACCTTTGCTCAAATTCCCTAATGCTGTGGTTTGTGTAGGTATTTGCTTGTATATGTGGAATGTAAGTTAAAAAGTTATCAAAATGAACAACGTTTCTGATACGTATAACGTGAGTGTGTTTTTTAGCAAGGTCATGCCTAGCGTAAGCTTTTTTACCTACACTCACGTGCAAAATAATCGATCCACACAAATTTTCGATGAATTTCAATAGCAAATAACTTTTTTATTTGATGTCGGATTTAAACGAATATTAAAGAATATTGTAGATAAATTAATGGACAATCGCTCACATTTAATCCATAGGCAATGGAGAATGACAGTGACAGTTTTGTTAAATCTTTTCATACTTGGACATGTCATACACGGCTTTCAAAAGCTAACAAATTGTTTTTTTCAAATTAATATTTAAATTTTAGTTTATACTTTATAAAATGGATATGTCTCCGACTGATGTTGCCAGAGCTATTAATTTAATCCAGGATGGACGGTCACAGTATTACGTGGCAAGTGTTTTAAACGTCATAAGAAGTAAAGTACAAAGGGAAACATCAGTCGGAGACATTTTTAAAAATAAGAAAATACCTTAAAATTAACACATTAATTTACAAAAAACAACTTGATAGCTTTTGAAAGCTGTATATGACATCAGGGCCGTAGCGACGGACTCAGGGGCCCCGGTGCAAAACTTTAGGATAGGATAGGATATCGAAAATTACGATTTTTTAGTAAAACTTTTTAGTTTTGGGGGCCCCTTTGAGGTCGGGGGCCCTGGTGCACCGCACCGCCTGCACCAGCCTCGCTACGGCCCTGTATGACATGTCCAAGTATGAGCCATAGCAACCTTAGTATACTATAGGTACTTCATGCAGGAAAAATATTGGAAATTGCAATGTTTTAAAAAAAAAATCCATATTTTCCACAAAAATAAATATATCGAGGTGAACCAAAAACAAAACTGTTAAGAATAGATGTGACTTGATAAATAAAACTTAATTTAGAACAATATACGGTTTTGCCACTCTACAGAGTGTCTTAAAATTATGGTAAAAAACATCTTTTTGTTTAAACCTGTATATTATAAACGTACGTCTATTTTTTAGTATATTTTTAAAATGTGAGCGATTGTCCATTAATTTATCTACAATATTCTTTAATATTAATATTCGTCTATTTTTTAGTATATTTTTAAAATGTGAGCGATTGTCCATTAATTTATCTACAATATTCTTTAATATTAATATTCGTTTAAATCCGACATCAAATAAACAAGTTATTTGCGATTGAAATTCATCGAAAAATTGTGTGGATCGATTATTTTGCCTGTGAGTGTATGTTTAATTTAAATATATAAAGTTCTGTTCTTGGTAAAAAATATTATTCTGTAAAAAAATAATATTAAAAGGGTATACCTTTATACAGAGCAAAGAATGTGCTAAGGGCATTTTACTACTCTTTTGTAAAAATAAACTTTATTCTATCAGGGCTGTAATCAAACTGTCAAATGTCAATTTCAAGGTTAATTTGTGGGTATGGTAAATTCATAAAATAAACTAGGACATACGTTTTCCAAGGGAAAGAGATTTTTAAATTGTAAAAAATTTTAAGTTTAAAAGGTAAAAAATGTTTAGAAATTTATTTTATTAAAATAATAAAAAATAGTGTAAACACATCTTGATTTCTTTAAGATATAAATTTATTTATAAAAAATTTCTTTACTCTGTATTTTAAGCATTTTAGAAAACCAAAAAAATATGCTTTATACAGGGTGCACCTAGTATTCTTCTATGTGTCTACTACCCTGGAAGATCGGTTAAATTAGAGAAAAGTTCAATTTCTGTTCCATTGAGTTTAAAAAAATTAAAATCCGGTCACAGATTTGCAAGTTACAAGCCAAAACATTTCACAGAATTTATTTCATTTTTTAAGCAAAATTGGATACAAATTCTTTGATCCATTTCTTTTAACGAACGAAAAATCACCGAGCTCATAAAACACGTCTAACCTTAGCGGCTGCCACAGACAAAGTAAACAATGAAAACAGCTAACGTTTTTATCATACTTCGGGGGCATGTATACCAACATAATAAAGAAAATTTTATGACAACCGGACCCTCTAAACGCGCAAAATTTAACAATTCCCGTTATTTTCTGAACACAGTGTGTTCAACACACCTCGTAAAACCCTTTTGGTTAACCGTTAAAAATACTTTAAAGTTGACTTAGTAGTAAATTTATACACATATACATAGAAGGATACTTGGTTTACCCTGTATACCTAAGTATTAAATTATTTTGTTACTACAAGCATTTTTAACAGCCTCAATGCATTTCCTTTTCTTGTAATATTAAATACAGGGCATCCCCAAATTAGCGTTACAATCGACCTAAAATATTTTTTAACAAAAAACTTTTTATTTCTTATTTAGGTAAATTTCAGCACTATACTAATAACAAAAATAATATTTAATATTAAAAATACTTGCCGAGCAAAATATATAAGCCATTTTTTGAACACCCTGTATAATGCGTTATTTATAAAACATATTTGATGTAAAATTTAGAACCAGTATGATTTCTAAACACCAATTTTGCGAACGATACTGTACCTTGTGTCGGAAGGAGGGGGTGGACTATCTAGTGTGGGAGTGTCCCCCCTTTCGGAGTTCCTCAATGTGTGCCGCTCATCTCTCCTTTCCACCTACCACACACAGTTTTTTCCAATCACAAGGCATACACGAATTTAACTACTGATCAACTTGTGGCATGCATCAAGAATGTTTAAGGAAGAAAAGGGGGGTTGGGGGGACATTTAATTAAAATAAAAAAAGCTGCAATTGAAAATTAATACTGAAGCATTCCCCATTTTTAACAAAATGTTAGCTATAATACATAGGCAACCCAGATAGCATAAACATGGGAATGGTTTTATTACGTTAACTATACAATTTGTTTGTCAAAATTTTACAAAATCGTTAAATATGACAAAAAAATTAAATTACTTTAGTATCAATATTTAAACAGTTTTTGCAAAATATCACAGATTTTCATTTCCTATACATAAAGTGAATATTTTTCGACTTAAAATTTGAGAAATGCACGTGAATCAAAAATAGCCTATAACTTTTTTGTTATTAAATTTGCGAATATAGGGGTGGAATTTTTGGAATCTTAAAACATTGTTTAAAAGATTTCATGTCAATTCTTTAACATTTTTCAACATATTACCTCAGAAAACCCATGGCAAATTAGGCTAACTTAAAAGGTTAATAACTTTTTTATTTTAAATGTAACACCCGGTATGTTTTTATATAATAAAATAGTAAATTAAAAAATCTTTCAATTATTGAATTAAATATCAAGGTGGGACTTTTGGGTGTTGAGTATTGGGAATTAAAACAAAATAATAAACTAAAAAATATAAATAAAAAAATGTTTTATTACAAAAAATCATATTCATAAGTCCAAGTAAGGTCTAATACAAAATAAGGAATAATACAAAAATTAAAATAATAAACATAAAATCAGGTTTATAAAAAATCATAAATCACAGTCTACGAAACACTAATTAAATGCATAAATTACAAAATAAGACAAAATTATAATATTTTGTCTACATTTCTGCCTTTCAAAGTAAAATAACCGTTAGGGTCTGTCCATAAATCTCGTGACGGTGAAGGGGTGAGGGGGGGCTTGAAAGACCGTCTCGATTTGTCATGCTTAAGGGGGGAGGGTTTATTAAAACGTCACGTGACAATAAAGTAAAAATTATTACAAAAAATATTCAAAAAATATTTAACGTCACATTCTGTCAATTTTGTCCATTTTTAGGGTCAGGAGACTTATGGACAGCCGCTTAACAGAGAAAAGCGTTAACCAATAAAAATATTGAGAAGCTTATTATAATAGTGCCGAAAATTCAATAATTTCCTATGGACAGTTGCGCTGGTTATTAATTTTTTAGAATTTTTCAAAATTTTTAAAATTTATGAAAAATTAAAAAAAAAAGTTTTAAAATTTTGAAAAGGTTGGTAATTCTAAATAATATGGAATATTTTTAAATCTTTTAAAATTTTACCAAAACTTTCAATATTACCAACATTTTTAATATTTCATATTTTTTTTAAATTTCTAAAATTTTAGAAATCTTTTTTGAAATTTCTTAATTTGTCCTATTTTAAGTTTTTCAAAATTCTTAAAAGTTTAGGATGGACAATTTTACAATTTTAAATATTTTGGAAATTTTAAAAATGTTTGAAATTTTGGGAATATTGAAAATTTTATTAAAACTTTGGAAAGTTTTTTAAAAGATTTGAAAATTTTGGAAATTTTGAAATTTTTGAAAATTTAAATATTTTTTAAATATTTTGAACTAAATTTTTGGCTAGACTCCAAAAAAAATTCCAGTTTCTATACAATTTTGTAAATTTTAAAAATTTAGGTAGACAATTTTGAAAGAATTTAAAAAACAAACAAAAATTTAAAGAATTTAGAAAAATTTTAAATATTCTCCAAAATTTTAAAATTTAGACTATCTTAAAATTTATAAAAAAATGTGAAAATTTTAAAAATTTTAAAAATTGTGAAAATGTTGGGAATTCTAAGAATGTTTTTAAATCTTTCAAAATTTTACCAAAATTTTCTATATTCCCAAAATTTCAAACATATTTTTTTTAAATTCTAAAATTGTATAAATTTTTTTTAATTTCTTAATTTGTACTATTTTAATGGTAAAGTAAAGTAAAAATTCTTAAAAGTTTAAGAATGCGATTTTAGATATTTTGGAAATTTTAAAAATGTTTGAAATTTTGGGAATATTGAAAATTTTATTAACATTTTGGAAAGTTTTTTAAAACATTTGAAAATTTTGGAAATTTAAAAAATTTTAAAAATTTAAATATTTTTTGATTATTTTAAACAAGACCCCAAAAAAATTTACAGTTTCTATACAATTTTGTAAATTTTTCAAAATTTAATTAGAAAATTTTGAAAGAATTTAAAAAGCAAACTTAAATTTCTGAAATTTTGAAAAGTTTAAGAAAAAATTGATTAATTAAAATTAAATTTAAGAAATTGAAACACTTGAAATTTGGAAAACCATTAGGAATTTAGGAATTTCCGACAGTCCTGTGAAAATTTTCCAAAAGGATTTTTGCGTTTTTCTCAATTTTAATCGAAATGCATTTTTTTACTGTGGACGGCAAATTTATCGTCAAGTATTAATACATAATTTCTTATTTTGTGTAAGTAGGTATAGATTAAAGAAAATAAAGAAAGGTAATAAAATAATTAAATACAATAATAAGGAAATATAAATGGAAAACTACAATGTGGCACATGTATGGTTAAACTTGATAAAAATAACAATAGTGACCAAACTTTTGTATGGTTGGTTATTTATAGAACAAAAAATAAAAAAGTTTTTTTGCGTTCCATTTTTTTTACTGAATTTAACATAACTACTGTTATTTTCATCCAACAACAACATCTCTATCATCTAACACTATATTTACCTATTATTGTTCATGCATTTATCAATTTTTGGTATCTGGTTTTATATATACATTTTTGGTTTCTACTGCAGTCCATGGGATTCAACGGTATAAACGGGTAACGGTATCGTTTCGGGATAGTGTCGGGGACGTACCTTGTTTAGGGCGTCTAGGACTCTGTCTGGCATATGGTCCTGGATCATTACAGGTGAGATTAGCACCTCGTCAAAGTCGGTGTTTGCAGCCCATAAGGCTTGGTAGACGGGCTCGTTTTTGCTCAGGGCTTGCCTAAAATTAAGAAAAATTATATAAGAAAATAGTAATTTATGAATCAATGCAGTAAAGTAGTATTTTTTATCATTAATGTGGAAATTATTTGCAATAATTAATATTGATGATCAAAATGTATACTGTTTGTTGCGACGGTCATGATATATTGGCTTTTTTTAAATTTTATTTAATTGCTGCTGAGGAGCAGTAGACACATCTTAAAATGTATAATGAGTTGCATACAATACTACTTTACTGCCGATTTCGGATAAACATATTTAATCAGTTTTTGTAAACGGATTACGGATAGGGATATACAACTCAGTGTTTACCACAGATAATTTTATTCTAGTAAATTTTTCAGGTTTGGAAACCCTACCTAAGACAATTTAGACTGTGTTTTACAAGCGTATTTAATTTCACTACCATTCCAAAAGTTCCTAAATATTTCTAGTCTAGTCTACTTAACTAACAAGTTTGCAATAAGCATGCTTCATGATGAATATACATTTCCAGTAGAAAATTGTAAAAATATATTCAAATCTAACTACGAAAGCTTGGTGAGTTTTGGATGATATGATTTTGGTGACTCACACAAAAGTATAAAAAAAATTAGGAATTATTACAGGGCACTTCATAGCACATATGTATAACATAAAGGTAAACCAAAAATGAAGTGGTAAAAATAATAGGTTTTTCATATAAATATTTGCTATTGGGTTAGTTAAAACATATATATGGTGAAATGGTCAATAAAATTGATTGATTTTATACGTGGAATACCCAGCAACATTTAAATTATTTGAATTTGAATCGACCGCAATTTAAACTAATATTTATAGCTTGATGATTGGCTCAGAAGCATGCCTGAACTAATTTAGACTCACGATTGGCGTTAGCCTTGTTGTCTCGTTCTATTACAATGCGATATCATAGTTGTCTCCTTCTCTCGTATTAGCATACGCGAGGCAGGCACGCCTACATCCAAGGAAATAAGCAGGTGTTGTGGCAACACTGTTGCGGAATTTTAGATAAATTATACCTCACACGTTTTTCAAAATTCAATAATAAATGGTATTATTTTTCTTATAATAAATCCATTTAATCGAAATTATATTTCTATTCTAAAATAACACTCTCGCCATCTTGTAGCAATCACAGTAACCAATAAAATAAATACAGATTCCTTCTTTAGGTTTGTTTTGGTTATAAAATTCTGAACTGTTTAAAGAACAAATCTGTGGTTATTTACGCAATATTTTGTTTATTATTTTTCTATGAGTTTGTCTATTTTATGATTCTTTTGTAAGTGGTATATTCTGTGGGTTTAGTTAATTGAACTTGGTGATTTATGTGAATTTAGTCATTATGGATTTACGAATTTCTCTTCAGTATAAGCGGGTTTGAATAGGTATAACATTTTTATAGGTTTTTAATTTTAATTTAGGAGTTTTATGTGTGAATTTGTAAGATTTCTATTTAATTTTGAAGAAAACAGATTCATTTAGAAACATGTTTATTTATTTATATATTTATTTTTCAATTTATAAGAATTATATTTATTTTGTTGGTTATTTATAACAGTAATATTTATTTTATTAGTTATTTATAAGAGTTATATTTATTTTGTTGATTGTTTCGCACTGTTCAAATTTTTATAAGGAGAATTTAGTTTTAGTTTTTAGTTATTTGCAACTCATTTATCCCTTTTTTCTCTCCAGTTCCCCTTACTTCCCTTCAGTTACGCTTCCCAGTTTCCCTTTTTCCCGGCAAGATGTTTTAACACTAAAGATTTTATGTTTTATATTGTCTTTATATCATTTAAATTGTGTACGAGGTAAACTCAGTATAAAAAACATTGTTAACTGTTGAATTTTTACCGATTTAGTAGTCTGAAGTCTTGTAGTCGCCTTATGAAACCGTCAAAATGCACAAAAACTCAATTATTCCCTCACTACGCCATAAAATCACAGACAGTTGTCAAAAACAATTTGCCGTTTGTTTTCTTGGAATTATTTAATGCAGCGCGTGCGCGTTGTGTTGGCAACGCGATTATTAAATACCATTGTTTCTAAAAATAATGTAAATAATCATTATTTTGCCTACAATTAAATAACTTCTTTTGCTCCACAAGTTGTGTTTAATAAATAATACGTGTTTTAAAACTATCTAATTATCAAAAAGCGTGTTATATTTGTGTCAATCGCGTTATCTTAGACACAATCAGCGCGCATGCGTGCAGGGCGATTCGTTTTTGTCACTTTGGCGGCCATTAAGCACAACTGTCAACAAGTTGCGGTGTTTATGAAAATTAATGTGATTTTTCTTTTGGTTTTCCGTGTTTTAGCGTGTTGTTTGTGTACGTGAGTGGCGTGTGTTAACCGGGATGTGAAATACGGGCAGTGAGGCGACAGGGAAAGGGCTTTAAAGGTGATATATGCGATTGTGTGTGTTGTGAATTGTTTTCTAATGTTTTTGTGTTGTTATAGGTAGGTCCAGCACGTGACTGATTAACATGGCAATTGGCAACAAAATGTGAGTACTTTTTTATTTTTAATACCTAGGTATTTTTTATTGTAATAAAAAATTAAAACGTGGATATTTTTTCGTCAATGTTTTGATTTTACAATAAGTAAGTAAGGATTGTTCAACATTTTTTAAGGATATCCACTAAAATACGGATACAAATTAAGAAGCCCATGTTTATCGGGTAAAGTACACTTTATTAAAAGTTTTCAATGAAACAATTGTTTAAAGGGAGTGTATATTGGTCCGGCCGTTCGGACGAATTGGAATTGACACTATTTGTCCGGGCGCTATTTGCGCTATGCTTGAACAGCTGACGGCCGGACGAATATTCTGGCGACTATTTGTCCGGGTAAAAGTTCCGTCGTAAATTAGCTGCAGTTGTAGTTTTTGTGTGAGTGCTTTAGTCAATATAAAGTATACCTAAGTACCTATAATAAATTATTAACATTTAATGATGTATGACTAGACTAACAGTTTCTTATTTTCGTAAAGTTCAGACAACTCGGGATTAAATAAAGACTAAGTAAATATTTTTCAGTGTGTAAGCATATTTACGTAATTGCTCTATCAAATACTTCGTTTCCAATGCCTTCTGATGGCTAAATAAACTGAAGCAAAAGCTAAAATTATTATATCCATACAAGTACTTTCATTATATTCATAGGAGTCGTATAAAGAGATTCTCTATATTTCTGCTTATAAGCAGTATACTTTTTTATTCATTGTTGTTAATTCTGTTTTTAGAAAAATGGATAATTATATTGCTTTTGGTAAAATGTTCCAATCATCAAAACAATATGAAAAAGAACACGCTATTCAACTAACTGGAAGAGATTTAACTCTTTTAAGTGCAAGAAAAAAATGTCCACAACGAATAGAAAATTGCAATACAAGGCTTCAATATTACTAAATTAAGTAACTGCATGTTATAAGGGTGGGAAAAAATAAAAAATGTCCAGGCCATTTAATAAGGTTTGCCTTATCTCAGGATGGCCAATCCTTGGTTGTTTCTGAGATTGAAGAAAACCATAATCACAACTGCAACACACTTGCCAGAACAACGCCTGGACATGTTTTTGAATCTCTTTGAGTTAGTTGAATAGCATGTTCTTTTTCATATCGATTTATTGCTTTTTCAATATCTTCAAATAATTGCAATATTTTACCAACAGCAAATTTATTATCCATTTTTCTAAACAGAATCGACAACAATAAGCAATAATTAAAAACTAAGCATAAATATAGAGAATCTCTTCATATGACCCATATGAATATAATAAAAGTATAAAATATTAATTTTAGCTTTTGCTTCAGTTTATTGTACAGGTACTCGGATATTCAGCCTTTAGAAGGCATTGGAAACGAAGTATTTGATAGAGCAATTACGTAAATCTGCTATTTAGTAGGTATACCTACTTACACACTTAAAAATATTTACTTCATTTACAAAAATAAGAAACTGTTAGTCTAGTCATACCATTGGCGGATCCAAGGGGGGGGGGCGATGGGGGCGATCGCCCCCCCCGGAAGTAAGTTATCAAGTTGAAATTAATATATAGAAAATAATAAAAAAAATGGAATAACTTTAATTTCAACTTATTATTTACAAAAATTTTCAACTCCGCCCCCCCCCAATGACACATTCTAGATCCGCCCCTGAGTCATATGGTAATAATTTATTATAGGTGCTTTTACTTTATATAGACTGAAGCACTTGCACAAAAACTACAACCTCTGTTGCATCTAATTTACGACGAAAATGTTTGAACGTTCACCCGGACAAATAGTCGCCGCAATATTCCTCCGGCCGTCAGCTGTTCAAGCACAGCGCAAATAGCGCCCGGACAAATAGTGTCAATTACAATTTGTCCGAACGGCCGGACCAATATACACTCCCTTGTTTAAATATAATTATTTCAACAAAGGTGTGCAACATACCCAAAAAATTAGGTATATTTTGGAAACACTGGTCAACACAAGTTACCTATACTTACAGGGTGTTCACAAATTTTTAAAATATTGTTTCTTGCTGCTACAAATTTTTTATCAGGAGAGTTGACTACTTTAGTTAAAGGGTACCCTTTTGAAAAAAATATCGCGATTTTCGAGTGTAACTTCCGAACCCGAAGAGATACGAAAGTGCGGTTTGATTTTTTGGAATCAGCTTGGTCGAATTAGTAAGGAAAAATTATTTTTGCAACTTTTTTGTTCATGTTTTTCAGAAAAAATTTCCGAAAATTTCATAAGGGGGGACCCTTTTAAAAAAATATCGCGATTTTCGAGTGTAACTTCCGAACGCGAAGAGATACGAAAGTGCGGTTTGATTTTTTGGAATCAGCGTGGTCGAATTTGTAATGATTAGGCCTCACCAAAATGAAATGTCACGGGCCGCCACCGATAGCTATAGAGCATTAATGCTCTATAGCTTCTTTTTTTAACACACCTGTAGGGAATTGCTTTATATAAAAAACTATTATTTTTTATCAAAAAACACCCTTTAGATACAAAAAAGTGAACTATACTAAACACCCTGTTCATTGTTTAAGGCCATGCATTTATATTGTATTTTGTACTTGGGTATACTATTATTATTATCATTATTATTATTTGTGCATGCTTTCTGGGGTAAAAAGGGTTTTATATGTATACATAATATTTAATTTTTATTACCTCAATCTTTTTTCATACTTTTGCCTGTAATGGTTTAAAAAATGTTAGTAATGTTTAATGAAGAATGTGTTAGTGTTATACCAATAAAAATATGCAAAAACTTCTATTTTTACGAAAGTATTAAAATCAAGGTACCTATTTAAATTTTGATTTTATTCACAAACGAAGTTACTTACTGTCCAGTTGTTGGATGTTGCCTGACGACATGAACTATTCTTCCAGGAGGATATAAAGGCTGATGGCTAGTTAACGCTATCGAACTGTCTGAAGGATGAATGCCTAGAGAGAAAAAAATAAAAGTAAATGTTAGACGAAATGACCCATGGGTCTGCAGATAGCACAGAGACATCTTAAAGACATCTTAAAGATGGACGTTTATGACATCCCTGATAGCAAAATTTGATTCTTATAATCTTCTAAGAAGATATGACCCGGAATAATGGAATATTCTTAGAACCTTCCCTTATTGCTAAGAATTTTCTTAGGGACTTTAAAAACATTCAATAGATACCCTTTTAATGATGCAATTAGATTCTTAGAAGCTTCTTAAAACCTTCCTAAAAAGCATCCTAAGAACATTTTAAGAATACGTTTTTGGAATGTTCTTAGAAGGTTTCTTATGGAGCTTCTAGGAAGCTTTTGAGAATATTTCCAAATATGTCAGATGCCCACGTTCCAATATGTTGGATTCTACATTCGTAAAATTCTTCAGGAGGCGACAAATACGCCTCACTGTCATAATATGACAGTGAAATGTATTTGTCGTCCCCTTAAAAAATTTTGCGACATATTAATATATATTTATTTAAAAATATTAAATAAACAATTTGACCTCTAAATCATAAGTTGTATGACATTACTTATTTCATAAAAAGTAAAATTGGAAAATTTTGTGGGAAAAGTCAGATTAGATTGAAGTTGAAGATAGTTAGGATTATTATACATAAAAATGTTAATTCAGAAATAAAAAATCGGTATACAAATTAATAAATATTTATTTTTAACATAAAATGAAATATAAAAAAACAAAATATTTTCTTATAAAATAATTCTTCATAAAAGAAAAAACCAAATAGTTCTTCATAAAAGAAAAACATTTTTCATTGTATTTAAGTTGGATAGAAGATTTTATGTAAAAGCCGGATAATTTAGATACCTATAGTAAAAGTATTTTTGTTATCGAATATTGTTTTAATTTGACAAATAACTACAAAAAAATATTTTGGGTTGTGTTTTTTACTTAGTATTTAATACTAAGTATAGGTAGATTATGGTATATTTTACTATTATATAGGTACCTAACTGAACTGAATATGCTTAACAGAATGTTCCAGGAATATTCCTAAATGAACTTTCTATAGCAATTACTTTCTCAACATTCTAAGCATATGTTTAGAGTGGATTAATTTTTACCACTAAACTTTGCACCTTCTAAGAACCTGCCTATAGGCCAGTGAGAATATTCTTAGGATTATGCTATATTTCTTTTAAGCATGTTCTTTAGAAGAAATATAGCATGATCCTAAGAATATTCTCACTGGAAGGTTTAAAAAACATTCTTAAAACATGACTAGAAGAAATATAGCATGATCCTAAGAATATTCCCATTGGAAGGTTTAAAAAACATTCTTAGAATAAACTGTGCTATTAGGGATCCCTAAGATGTCCAGTTCACGACGTAAGTCAACTTTAAGACGTCTTTAAGATATCTAATGTTACAAATCACAGCGTCTTTAAGATGTAAGATAAAATGGTTCCTAATTATCTCTTACTATGAAGTGGATGAATATGGGATATAATTTCGATTTTGACTTGTCAAAATTCACCATTTTATCAAAAAATTAAAAAAAAAAATAAGCGGTGGTATCAGTAGGGTTGGGAAAATATCACTTTTTGCTTGTACTTGAAATTTCACTTGAAATTTTCACGACATTTATGAAATTTATTAAAATTTCCTAAATGTCTGAAATTTCATGAAATTTATTGAAACTTTCAAAAAATTTCAATCACTTTAAGTGTAATATATTAATATTGAAATAAGCCCACTCGGTGACCATGGTAAATTGCCTCTCTTAACTCCTACCTCTCTGTGGGCCCCTGCACCAATAATATAAATAGTAAATACCTATGTTTACCACAAATTTCTTGAGATATCCTTTTAAAATATTTTTAAAATTACTAAAACTAAGAGAGATATAGCACTTTTTGGTAACCTAATGAGATTGTGCCACTTTCATTGTTTTATATTTATATATATTTATTATTTTTATATATTTTACTGAAATTTTACAAAAATTGAAGAAACTTCATCAAAATTTTATGAGCCAAAGGCATTTTTTATCCGTTTTCGGATGCAATTATAGCAAAAGTAAAAGTTTAAATTAATCATGACTAAAAAAATTTTAATGTCTGATTTAATTTACAAATTAAATTGGTAACTGAATTAAATTATTTAAATTTATTTATGCATATAAGTAACAATAATTACTTATAGTGTATTCTCGTTCTCGTTCTTATTGGTCGATTCGGAATCTGTTGTAAATTATTATTAAAGGTCCCAGGGGAGGCCGCATGTGAAATTTATGCGAAATTTTCAGTAAATTGCGAAACTTTCAATGAAGTTTCACAGGCAATGTTGAAATTTTCGAATTGAAAATTTCATTTGAAATTTCACTTTTCCAACTAAATGAAATATTTCAAGTTTGAAACTTTCAAAGTTAAAATTTTCATTTGAAACTTTCAAAGTTGAAATTTTCATTTGAAAATTTCAACTGTCCACAGACATACAAAATACATCTTCAAGACGTTGTATGCTATATTATCAGCATTTCTTTGAAAAAAAAGTTTGTTCAACAAACAGTTGACTACAGAATCTTACCTACGCATCTAGCGTGCTCCTTGCTTCTCATGTACTCGCAGACTTCCCTCTCGCCGGTGGACATCTCCACCGCTGAAGTGGGCTGCGAGCATCCGCAGCACACTATGCTGCAAGCGATGGTCTTCCATTTGGGGTCCACGGACCTCTTGATGGCGTTTATCAGGTCTGTTCGCAGGGTTTCCATTTGGTGCAGGCCTATTCGGGGGACGACATCCTTTCCCACCACCACGGAAACCGTAAACTCCTTCGTGTACTCCACTGCGGGGGCCGATAGGAGTCCCCCCGGCGGACTGTAGCAGTAGCACAGCAGGCTGGGGTGCCTCTGTCGAAGCAGGATGCCCAATATGCTTGCAGTTCCTGGAAAAATAGTATAAAATTTGTGTAAAAACAGTATAAAATTTGTGTAAAAAATATTTTTTGATCATATGAAATAAATTTATATCCTTGGCATAAAAACAGAAGCGAATTTGCTTTCGGCACGCGCCTAAAGAGCGGCACGCTTTGAGCGCTTTACACCGCGTTATTACAAATAAGCCACATTATTATAAAATAATAAAAACAGTAGAATATTCGCTACTCTACCGTACTCATAATTGTTTATTGTTTATTTGATTTATTTTTGGTAGACCCTTGTGGACATTTTTCTCTGAGAAAGTCTTACTTTCTCTTAAAAAGTCTGAATAATACTTATTAAGTCGAAAAAAGTCTGAATGAAGTCAGACTAATAGCAAGATTTGGGAGTCTTCTGGAAGAGTTAATAAGACTTTTTAAGACTTAATAAGACTTTTAGTAGAGAAATGGTAGGTACTTATGGCGATAAAAATAAATATCCGAAATAATTCGTAGAGGTTGTATTTGGTTATCGTAAAATAAAACACATAGAAAGGTATTTATTAACATTTTTGCTGTTGTTATGAGCCAAGTTTATTGCATAATTACCTATATAATAACATAGGTAAGATGTAATAATTATAAAAATTATAATTTTATACATACGATGCGCTTGACATGCTTTCATTGTTTCCACCATAGAAAAAGGAGTTGCCACTGTACGTTTTATTTTAATAGTTACAAACAAATCTTCTAGACGTAATATCGAGAGACCAGCTCAGCTAGCTGACCAATTAGAGCACAGCTGACATGTCAGTGGGACACAGTGTTGCAGTTTGTAAGTAATTTACTCGAAAATCGGGTATTTTCGTAATATTTGCGGGTGAAATCGAGTGATTTGCGAATTTCTATCAAAATAATAACAAAAGAAATTTTCAGTAAATAATATTGTATATTTACTAAATATGCACAATTATTTTATTCTATCGTGTTACATTTTGATTATTATTTTAATACTTTGAAGATCAACCATGATACAAAGATGAATGAAACACGAAGATCAACCATATTTGTCTTATGAGTTTATCGAAAATATCATGTCTATAGATATGATATTAACTCCTTTTTCTATGGTGGAAACAATGAAAGCATATCAAGCGCATCGTATGTATAAAATTATAATTGTTATAATTATTACATCTTACCTATGTTATTATATAGGTAATTATGCAATAAACTTGGCTTATAACAACAGCAAAAATGTTAATAAATACTTTTCTATGTATTTTATTTTACGATAACCAAATACAACCTCTATGAATTATTTCGGATATTTATTTTTATCGCCATAGGTACCTACTATTTCTCTACTAAAAGTCTTATCAAGTCTTAAAAAGTCTTATTAACTCTTCCAGAATACTCCCAAATCTTGCTATTAGTGTGACTTAATAAGACTTATTCAGACTTTTTCCGACTTAATAAGTCTTATTCTGACTTTTTCCGACTTAATAAGTATTATTCAGACTTTTTAAGAGAAAGTAAGACTTTCTCAGAGAAAAATTTCCACAAGGGAAAATAAACCATTTGGTAACAATTTTTAATTTTTTAAGTAATTTTGGAAAGTCGGGAAAAATGTTTTATTAAATGAATATTACCTGCTCCAAGAGAGTGTCCTACAATAACGATTTCAAACTCAGGGGTGCCCCTTTCAGGTTTGTGATTCTGCGCTTTTTCCACCAGCTGTTTTTCGTCCAGTTTTTCCAAGATGTACGCTGCAGCTTGCACCATTCCTTTGTGGCCCAGCCAGTCTTCTTTCGGAGGTGATAAAGGTAACGTTTCACCTTCTGCGTTAAGATCTGTCAAAATATCCTTAAAAGCATAAAGAAAAATTATTAAAACATGTTCTGTAGATCTTTAAAAGAGGAGGTGATATAAGACAAACATTACACCAGTTTACAGTCATTTTGCTCACCATGTCTCACTATAATTTTCTTGTGTAGTTTGGCTCAATAAACTCACTCAATTTTTTTTCATGGAAGCGTTTTTGAGATATGAATTTTCAATGGTTATTTTTTTAATTTTCTGAGGTGTTTTGACGATTACTTCGAATTCTAATTGATCGTTTTGACCAAACAAGCACTTAAATCAAAGGTAATTGAGTAATTAAGTTCTGTTTGATTTAAACCTTTAAATATGTAAATTTTCGACCTCAATTTTTGCCATAAAAGCGAATTTTTTAAAATATTTAAATCGCTAGCGTGAAAATACTTATTCGATATCAAAAGTATGTAAAAGAAAGTTTTCAATTTAAGGGCTTGTTTGGCCAAATCGATCAATTTGATTTCAAGCTATACTCAAAAACTTCAAAACACCTCCGAAAATTGAAAAAAAAAACAATTGAATATTTATATTTAAAAAACGTTTCCATAAAAAGTAGTGGGGTAAAATACATGGAAAAATTATAATGGGATATAGAGGGCAGAATTTTTTTTCGATTTTGTAAACTAGTGGTATTATTGATTAAATATTCACTTGCCTTCATTGATAGAGTTCCTCTTATACTTATAACTATTTTTTTTCTATCATAATCGAGTGCAACGAAAAATGGTGTTTGTCCAACGTCCACGTGGTATGTGGCATAAATAATTTCAATATCACCTAAAATGTTAAAAAAATTGCAGATTTTTAATCAATTGATAAAACGTAGAATACGTTAGATTAATTACATAATTTTCAACAAATTACTGAGAAAACTCAGGGCAAATTAGATTAACATGTAACACTCGGTATATTTTTACATTATCACTGGACCCTATATCTAAAGTTAATAAATTCAGAGATATTTAACAATTTCTAAAATTTTTAATAATGGGATCTTGTAATCCGTATTCCTAAATAACAGTTCCTATAATACCAATAGGTAGTTAGCACTTGGTTTTTATTCGTTTACTGTTTTTAAATTAACAACAAAAGTTATTGCATTAAATACTAATTTGATTTATTTAATAACGTTACTATTGTATGTATACTATGTATACATTTAACGCAATAAATTCTTTGACATTTTGGCAAAATATTTCCCTATTTTGGTTTAATAGTAATTAATTGAGCAAACAACAATTTAGATTGCTTCAATTTTAATGCATTCAATGACAGCGTTGTTCTTGGTACATGTTAGAATTTTTTTGTGTGTATCAAGAAACCTGTGACGGGTGAGTTGACGGTATCTATGGTTACCACGTAATTTGTCATTGTTCAAAATTAAAAGGTGTCATTTTTTTCAGGTTATTTTCCATTTCTTAATTCTTACTTCTATATTAGGGTTATTTTCAAATTTCTTATACATTTGCTGTCCCTCAACTTTAATAACTTTTTCCATTCCCCAGAAGCTTCTAATGGACCACGAACGTGAGACACCCTGTATAATAACTTTTTAGTAACATTGATTATAAGCTTTCTGCTGACGCCTTAGACAGAAGATCATATTTAAACCCCAGATAACCTGATAGTTGTAATGGATATCATGTAGAGGCAAACTGAACTTAATACCCACCTAAATCAGTTAGCTTATGCAGCGCTGCGTAATTGCACTGACAGCAATTATCGTCGACGATTTCCGGTACGTCGGAAGGTCGGTTTTTGGAGCAGGGCAGGCAGCAGCAATTTAGCCCGGCGCACAATTGACAGACGCCCAGCTTGTTGGTCATCAGGTAGATCGGCCATCCGTAAGCCCTGACGGCGAAGTAAGCGTAATGGATGATGGCCTGGAACTCGTTCAAGTCCTCGCCGGCGTCGTGCAGCGAGAGGAACTGCGTCCGGGGGGTGATGGGGGCCCCCGACAGGTACTCGTACGTGTCGTTTTTCCTCTGAAAAGAACACCAGATGTGAAATGGTGCCACCATCATCTACACCCAAAGAACCAAGGCTCCAATGAACAGGAAGCTTTAAAGGATGACTCTAAGACTTGGCAGCACTTACCCTCATCAAGTTGAACTAAACTGCGCACCACTCAACGTGTCGCGACCAAAAAGTTCGTCCTTTTTCAAAACGACATAACTTTTTTCTTTCTTGAACGATTTTATTTTGGTCTGTGATGTCTGCTATAGATATTAAGCACACGGTTTTTTATTTTCCGTTTTTTTTGGTTTGTGATGTCTGTTAGCCTCATCCTCTGGCAATTTATGCTATAGAGGGTGATAATAACAATAACTTCATCCAAGCCCCGTTTGTAAAACAATAATTTTTTTTTCATTTTTACTTTGAAATAATGAAGTATTATGTATTACCTTGAAACGTTTTTCAATTTTTTCGAATTGGAATCTTAGCAACGAAAATATGATTTTTTCCCCAAAAGAGTACATTTAGGGCTTTTTGGTAGGCAATATACTCAGTCTTTTTAAGAACAAGAAAATAAGATGGTAAAAGATTGTTCCTTGAATAATTCTGAACAAGCCACAAGCAACAAACTTCCATTATTTTCAGAGGGGCCTAAGCAAAGACCACTTTTTCAAAATGACATTTTGGTGAAAATTTGCGAAAACTAAACCTGAACCAATATTTACGTTCGTGACATGTTTTGTCAAATTTCAGTTTCAGATAAAACCAAAATCATCAAGAATCAAAATTCGAAAACAATTCCCTGTTGTTAAATGTCTTAATAAAATCCGATTGCTGTCGTGTTTCTTGCATATTTATGATGAAAATGCCATTTGGGGATTCATTTTAGGCGAAATCATGGGCGCCGGAAGGAATTCGTCTAGGGGGGGGGCCCTTAAAGTTTTTTACAAGTTTGATAGATGTTATTTATAATCAAGTTGTACTGTAGAAGTTCACATTAAACTTAAGCCAAATAAAATATCATCTTTATATGTATATTTACCTATTTATTTATATTGGTACATATTGCAAAAAATACAGCACAGTTTTTTGGTAAATATATAAATATAAAAAAATTGTATCGCCGAGGAATCTCTAGTACAGCCGTCTTAAGTATACGCTAGGGTGTTTCATTTAAAACGAACATTTTTTTTCTTGCTGACACATGAAAATTTTGTTTTTTTAGGTTGAAAAAAAAAATCCCTGAAAATTTGAGCCCTTAATTTTGATTCTAAGTACTTCCTTTTTAATTTTGTAGTTTTTCCATATAAAAAGCATGTATTTTTAATCATTTTTACTTTAAATTTCTATATTTTGGCCGGGTTTTGAATTATAATTTTTATCACCATAATTTTCTGCATAGTATTCACGGTTTTTGAAAGGCCCTGCATCAATTTTGTTTTTGATTTATTTACGTTGATTGTATACTAGGGTGATTCAAAAAAAGCCTTTTTTTAAAAATGAACCCGCACTGGCCTAAATTATAAAAATTACATTAAAACTAAAACATTAATACCAAAAAATCCAAATTCGATGAATATTTAGAGGTCGCTCAAATCGATTTTCGTATTTTTGCACATTCGAGCCGCGAAATTATTACTGCACAAAATAGTAAATAACTCCGTTAGTTTTTATTCGATATTATTAAAAATTTAAGGGTTACCTAGTTTTTTAATACCCTCTGAGACAGTGAATTAAACTTTACGTAAAAAAATTTTTTTTCATGAAAAAAAAATAATTTGTTAATAAAAACGTATCATCTTATAAAATAAGCAACAATTGGAATCGCACTATGATGGTACCGTAAAAAAACTAAGAAAATAACACTGAAATTATTTAGCATACATAAAACCTGCCGAAAGAAATATTTTATTTGATTTATATAAAACATAACCTAATAATAATTAAGTTATTTAAATTTTTCCCATTTTCATACGATTTTATAAATAATTTATATCCGTTTTATTAATTATGACGTATTTTTATAAAATTTCTTTATTTTTGATACCATATTTAATTAATTACACTAAGTAGTTATTAATTTATGTCCTTTTTATAATTAAAATAAAAAAATCCACTGCTCTACATCTTTTTCTTTGCAATGATTGTTTCTAATGTTAATTTTTTTAACCATTTTTTCTTTTGTTTCAGTAGGTACTCTTTTATCAAAAAAGTTCATGAAGTCTTTTCAAATCATTTTTGGGCGCTGCATTTGGAGCTTGGAACCAGGCAAATATGTAAACGAAATAATAAAAATACAAATTCTACGCAATGACTTATTTTCATTGTTAGTGAGTTTAAATTGATCCCGAAATAAGAAAATCTTTAGAAAGTATATAGCTTTGTTCATCCATCTGGTACTTAGACGCTTTTGAATTAAGTAAATAATAAAATTTAACGCTCTACAAAAAAGGTCTCTTATTATTTTTCGATAAATTGATTCCTTCTAGAGTTATTCGAGGTCAAAGTTTGATTAACATTAAATTTTCTGTTTTTTTTAATTTTATGGTATAATTAGCAGACGGGAGGTGAAAGGGGGCAAAACAAGGCAGCGTTGCCCCCCCCCCCGCTGGGGCACCCAAAAAGTTTCGTAAATTTTTTGTTTTATTGTTTTTTTCGGTTTCTAAATCATTTGAAAATATATTTACTCACCAAGAAAAAGGATGGTACAATTTTGGAAAACTTTTCATATGCTCATTTTTTGGGTACCCCATTTTGCCCCCCCCCCCCCCCCCGCTGCCTTGTTTTGCCCCCTTCCACCTCAAGTCTGCTAATTGTACCATAAAATTAAAAAAAAAAAAACAGAAAACTTGATGTTAATCAAACTTTGACCTCGAATAACTCTAGAAGAAATCAATTTATCGAAAAATAATAAGAGACCTTTTTTGTAGAGCGTTAAATTTTATATAAGAAACTGCAATAATCATTGCCATAAGTTACTATACGATACAGAGGTATAAAATTCCAAATATAAAATTATTTTTTCCCATGTTAATTCAATGGGAAACTAAAATAAAAACAGCGACCTCTTAGAGTTGAGCCCATATTTGGTGAGGATTTTCTTTATATTAAATAAAAACATTTGAGAGGGTAAGAGCGAAATTTTTTTGAAGCACCCTAATGTATATATATATATTTATATTTACCTACATAATTTATCAACTACCTGGTAGTAGGTCCTACTATCAAAATTTAAGAATAATAATTATTATTGTGGTATGTCAATTTAGCAACTTCTAGACAGAATCAAATAATTTTGGTATCAAAATTTTAGAATTGTTGTATGTCAATAATTTTAATAAAATTTAAATTTCTGCTTAAGCCATATCAATGCAGTGAATAATTTTGTAGTTAACGTTATTTTATTTTTGTTGTAAAAAGGACCTAATTTAATAACTACCTAGTGTAATTAATTAAATATGGTATCAAAAATAAAGAAATATTATAAAAATACGTCATAATTAATAAAACGGATATAAATTATTTATAAAATCGTTTGAAAATGGGAAAAATCTAAATTACTTAATTATTTTTAGGTTATATTTTATATAAATCAAATAAAATATTTCTTTCGGCAGGTTTTCTGTATACTAAATAATTTAAGTGTTATTTTCTTAGTTTTTTTACGGTACCATCATAGTGCGATTCCAATTGTTGCTTATTTTATAAGATGATACGTTTTTATTAACAAATTATTTTTTTTCATGAAAATTTTTTTTATTTCTGTAATGTTCAATACATTGTCTCAGAGGGTATTAAAAAACTAGGTAACCCTTAAATTTTTAATAATATCGATTAAAAACTAACGGAGTTATTTACTATTTTGTGCAGTAATAATTTCGCGGCTCGAATGTGCAAAAATACGAAAATTGATTTGAGCGACCTCTAAATATTCATCGAATTTGGATTTTTTGGTATCAATATTTTAGTTTTAATGTAATCTTTATAATTTAGGCCAGTGCGGGTTCATTTTTTAAAAAAGGCTTTTTTTGAATCACCCTATTGTATACTATATATAGTAGCTCCAAAAGTCGTTTTTTCACTCTTTTCACATATTTTTGAGAAAATCGAGCGAATGACTGGTTTTGCCGAAAAAGTTCAAATAAAAAAGTTGTAGAAAATTTAATTTTTGACAAAAAAGGTTTTTACGTTCATATCACTAAAGTGCTTTGTTTAAGAGATATAAGGAATATGTAGTCGTTTAATCAAATTACATACATTTCAATAAAACCTATTTTTTCTTTGTTTTTGGTTATTGAATTGCTTATATCTCTTAAACAAAGCACTTTAGTGATATGATCGTAAAAACCTTTTTTGTCAAAAATTAAATTTCCTACAACTTTTTTATTTGAACTTTTTTGGTAAAACCAGTCATTCGCTCGATTTTCTAAAAAATATGTGAGAAAAAGTGAAAAAACGACTTTTAGAGCTACTACAATCAACGTAAATAAATCAAAAACAAAATTGATGCAGGGCGTTTCAAAAACCGTGAATACTATGCAGGAAATTATGGTGATAAAAATTATAATTCAAAACCCAGCCAAAATATAGAAATTTAAAGTAAAAATGATTAAAAATACATGCTTTTTATATGGAAAAACTACAAAATTAAAAAGGAAGTACTTAGAATCAAAATTAAGGGCTCAAATTTTCAGGGAATTTTTTTTTCAACCTAAAAAACAAAATTCTCATGTGTCAGCAAGAAAAAAAACACCCTAGCGTATACTTAAGACGGCTGTACTAGAGATTCCTCGGCGATACAATTTTTTTATATTTATATATTTACCAAAAAACTGTGATGTATTTTTTGCAATATGTACCAATATAAATAAATAGGTAAATATACATATAAAGATGATATTTTATTTGGCTTAAGTTTAATGTGAACTTCTACAGTACAACTTGATTATAAATAAGTAAGTACTTAGAATAAAAGTTAAGGGCTCAAATTTTCAGGGAATTTTTTTTTCAACCTAAAAAACAAAATTTTCATGTGTCAGCAAGAAAAAATAAATTTTCGTTTTAAATGTAACACCCTATACAAATTATGTAACTATACGCTATACAAATTATGTTAAATTAAAATATAATGAACAAATGATAACGATCAGCACTTAACGTCAAATTATGGAGTACCGGAATTTCTGGGTATGAATTTCCAGGGGGGGGCCCGGGCCCCCCCCTGCCCCTATGTAGCGGCGCCCATGGGCGAAATTACTGCAATTTGTTTGAGTGGTTAGGATAATTTTACATAACTTATCAAAATTATGAAGAAAACATATTACGAAAGTAAATATCGGTTTAGGTTTAGTTTTTGCAAACTTTCACGAAAATGTCATTTTGAAAAAGTGGTCTTAGCTTAGGCCCTCTGAAAATATTGGAAGTTTGTTGCCTGTCGCTTGTTCAGAATTATTTAAGGAACAATCTTTCACCATCTTATCTTCTTGTTCCTAAAAAGACTGAGTGTATTGCATAAAAAAAAGCCTTAAATGTACTCTTTTGGAAAAAAAATCATATTTTCGTTGCTAAGATTCCAATTCGAAAAATTTGAAAAACGTTTCAAGGTAACATATAATACTTCATTATTTCAAAGTAAAAAAGAAAAAAAAATATTTTTTTATAAACGGGGCTTGGATAAAGTTATTGAAATTTTTCACCGTTTAACATATCACCCTGTAGGAAATTTACTTGACCAACTGTTTCATATCTATAGCATAAATTGCCAGAGGATGAGGCTAACAGACATCACAAACCAAAATAAAATCGTTCAAGAAACAAAAAAGTTATGTCGTTTTGAAAAAGAACGAACTTTTTGGTCGCGACACACATTGAGTGGTGCGCAGTTTATAATAACTATAATATCTATCAATACTGACCTGTTCCACGATGGCTTTTCTTTCGATTATCTGGAACTTTCTTAACAGCACCAAGCCCACTACAACATCTGAAGGTACCACGTCTAGGTCTCTAAAATAGTCAGCTAAAAGTCTTGCGATGTCAGTAAAGGAGTTACTGTTTCTCTCTGCTCCCGAAGAGCAGCAAAACAAAAATCTGCATCTGTTGTGCCAGCTGTCTTGATAGGCTCTAAGTACTTTTCTGAAACATTATCATTTATAAGCTCAAAAGTATGACAGCTTAAGATTTGCTGTAAGAATTATTCTACCTTTGCCTCCAATTTCTCGTACTTCCAGATCTTTTATAATGATATTTTCCCTCCGATTCACGCATACTTCTTTGGTATTTTTTCATTTTCACCCAAGATCTGCCGGCGGTGTCGTACGTGCACCAAACAGTCACCAAAACGGATAAAAGGATGCACCAATTGAACACCACCATACCTACAATGCATTCAAAAGAAACAATTGTTTTCCGAAGAGATATATTCAGATGCTCATCTTACCCAACACAGTTTCTTTGGCTTTTTCAATTTCACAGTCTAAATAATAGTTTACTAACCAAGCTACACCGGCTGATAACCAGCCAGCTTCGATAAACATCACAGCTAAAAAAAAAGAAAAAAAAATTTCAAATATACTTTTTCATTTAATAAAATTTCCACTGGATAAAATTTCCACTGGATAAAATTTCCACTGGATAAAATTTCCATTGGATAAAATTCTATAGACTTGAAATTTTACTTACTAAGTCTGAGGTAAAGTATGTACTGCATACTGGATCTTTTGGTGATGTCCAGTATGCTGCCCCTCATTGCCACAATGCAGATACACATTTCGAATGCCATGGACAATAGCAACAAACCCAAATAACCCAAAATTAGGTACCAAATTAGAAGAACGCATTGCTTCGATCTGTCAAAGTGGATGAGGCCCAGTGCGCAGCTCAAAATTATCGTCCTGAAACAAGAAAATTTGTCAATTAGTTTAAATTTTTCTTTTCAGGTTTAAACAAAAATATGTTTTTTACCATAACTTTAAGACACTCTGTAGAGTCGCAAAACCGTATATTGTTCTAAATTAAGTTTTATTTATCAAGTCACATCTATTCTTAACAGTTTTGTTTTTGGTTCACCTCGATATATTTATTTTTGCGGAAAATATGGATTTTTTAAAAAACATTGCAATTTCCAATATTTTTCTGTATGAAGAGCTAAGGTTGCTATGGTCCATCCATAGGCTATGGAGAATGACAGTGACAGTTTTCTTGAATCATCCCATACTTGGACATGTCATAAACGGCTTTCAAAAGCTATCAAATTGTTTTTTGCAAATTAATGTTTAAATTTTGAGGTGTCTTCTTACTTTAAAAAATGGATATTTCTCCGACTGATGTTGCCAGAGCCATTAATTTAATCCAGGATGGACGGCCACAGTATTACGTTGCAAGTGTTTTAAACGTCACAAGAAGTAAAGTACAAAGGGCAACATCAGTCGGAGACATTTTTAAGAGTAAGAAGACACCTCAAAATTAACACATTAATTTACAAAAAACAATTTGATATCTTTTGAAAGCTGTATATGACATGTCCAAGTATAGGATGATTCAAGAAAACTGTCACTGTCATCCTCCATAGGCTATGGATGGACCATAGCAATCTTAGTTCTTCATACAGGAAAAATATTGGAAATCGCAATGTTTTTTTTAAAGAAATCCATATTTTCCACAAAAATAAATATATCAAGGTGAACCAAAAACAAAACTGTTAAGAATAGATGTGACTTGATAAATAAAACTTAATTTAGAACAATATACGGTTTTGCCACTCTAAAGAGTGTCTTAAACTTATGGTAAAAAACATCTTTTTGTTTAAACCTGTATATTATAAACGTACGTGTATTTTTTAGTAATTTTTAAAATGTAAGCGATTCTCCATTAATGTATCTACAATATTCTTTAATATTTGTTTAAATCCGAAATCAAATAAAAAAGTTATTTGCGATTGAAATTCATCGAAAATTTGTGTGGATCGATTATTTTGCTTGTGAGTGTATAAAAGAAAAAAAATTCAAAGTATTTAGATACGGCGATATTGGTGGCCACGCGACAGGACCACTGGGTCTGAAATTGTTAATTCAAAAATCCAATATCTTAAATCAAAAGAAATCAAAATAATTGCATTTATCTTTAATTTATTCTCTTAGCAAAACAAATGAATTCAAAACACGTGTTAAAATTAATTGCGCTTTCCGTGCCTGAGAAAATCCGTCTAGTTGGCGAGCGCGGAAAACAAAAGCCGAACTCGGAAGGCGTCGCGACGCCCGTCGTCTCGATTATCCGGCAACAAATGAACGCTGCAGTCGCAATAAAGTGCGCACTGTTGCCAATTACCCTTTACAAAAAAATTGTACATACCTACACAGTAAAAAATGCAGCCCGTGTAAATTTTTTAGTGTAGGAGTAAAATATTAGAGTTGATTTGTAAGTGTAAAAGTTTTACTACAAAATACACTAGGTAGAATTTAGTCCTTATTAACTTTATTAAATACATTTAAACAATATGAACATTATTCATTGGTACATTCACACTATTTATTATTAAAATAAATCAAAAGGGTAAAAAACTTAATGCGAGTGTTTATTACCCCTTAATGTGTTAAATAGTGACAAAATGTTCACTACACTGCCGTGCTTAATGAAAACGCCGTAACCAACAATTTTGCGATTTTTGTTTTACGGCATTTTCTACTAGAACAATTCATCCTGCGTCTATCCCCGGTACTCAAAAAACCGTATCTATATATATATACGGTTTTTTGAGTACCGGGGATAGACGCAGGATAAATTGTTCTAGTAGAAAATGCCGTAAAACAAAAATCGCAAAATTGTTGGTTACGGCGTTTTCATTAAGCACGGCAGTACAGTGCATGCCAATTTCTTTGTCTGTTTTGATGTTACTAAGAGCTCTTTTTTCTTTACACTACTAGTGCACATTGTATCACAATTAAAGTTAAATTACACCAATAGTGGCAAAATAGACTGAAAAAACTGGTAATAACCGAAATGCGTTTTAAAATGTTTATTTGGTACCCATCTACCTACGCAGTGCATATCCGGAGATACCGCGTTGTGGAAGTGTGGCATTTTTGTTCAGTTAGATTTTAATTACTGTTAATCCATAAGAGGACATTCTTATTTTTTGGTGAGTATTATACTTTCTTTTTCTTTAAGCCTTAATCCTCAATAAATACCAATATGTTAAAAGGTTGTCCATACCCGACCTATATTATATATCAATAACTTACGGCAGTAGGTCGGGTACTTGTAACATTAATAATATAAATACATACATACTTGATTTACTTTTTATTTTCAAGCGTAATGGTTTTTATATTAACCCATACCTACATTTTACTTAATATTATGGAAAATTTGTACACGTGTGGTAAATCCCCGACATACAGCCGCCTGACGCCTCTCTACCAATGGGATCACCCATTTTTTATAACAGAAAAATGGATTACTGATGAATTCTCAAGGTAATTCATTGCTTACAAGTTGACAGCCAGAAAAACATTGCATTGATCTAAAACTTTTACGTTTTAAGTAACCATTTTGCTTAAACCAGCCATACGACTCAAATAAAAAATTATATTTTAAAAGGCACCGATTTTGATAATTGTCATAGATTTTTGTTCCAAATAAATGTTTCTCTTTATTTACCTTTTCGTTTTATTCACTACCACCAATAGGTTTTACTCAAATAATAGTGTTAATTTACACTAGAAGTTTGCACTAAAAGAGTAAAAGTACCTTTCTAAAATTAGAAGTTTTTTAAAGTAGTGTTAATTTACACTGAACAAAAGTGGGATTTTACCCATTAAGTGTAGAAGTACACGATTTTAGGTAAATTAACACTTTTTAATACAGTGTAAAATTACTTTATCCTCAGTGCTATAGTGTTAAATCATACTTGCTTACTTGGGGAAAATTACACTACAAATTAACTCTAATTGTAGTGTTATAAAACAACACTATTTAGTGTGGACCTGTGTGAACTCTAATTAGTGTTGCTTAGAGTTGATTTTTTTTACTGTGTAAAAATTATTGATTAAATTATAAATTTTATGTTTTATGGCCCTAGATGTAATACCAATGTATTTGTGTTAATGTTTGGTACACTTGGCAACACAGCTATTGAACGCTGTATGCAACAGAAAGGGGAAAGGTCAGGGGTCATTGCAGTGTTTCGTATTCGGGTTCTACGCTTTTCATTATTGAGTATAAAAGAAAATTATTTTTCCTAAAATGATTTTCTCTTGCTTAACATTTTTCTTCGATACGCGAGGTCCTTTGATGTTTTTAAAGTTTACATAAGATGTGCCTTGAAGGAAATGCTATGTATTTAATTTGTAGATGAGACCATGCTACCAAAAAAACTAGGTATGTTCTTGCGCATCTCTTTCCAACACTCCATCAGATTGATAATTTAGGTTAATATTTTGTTTTGTTTTGTAGCTTGTATTTTTTCCATTTATTTTGAAGATAGTTGTTATAAGAAGGAAAATTTAATCGAAAAAACATACAAACTACATTCCCATAAAAAAGTCTTTAAAGTTGATACGGTTCCAACTTTACACTTAACAGCTAATCTATCAAAAGAGAAATCAAGAACTTTGTAAGAAATTAAAATAAAATTGGAAAAAAACAATTTAAATCATAGTTCTTTTTACAGTGTACAGGAAATAGGAAGTAGGACAAACCATACAATTTTTATATAAACATAACAACTCTACAACAAATAACATAAATTGTTAAATATTTTTTAAAGATAAATTGCTGTTTTAGGTAATTTTTTTATTTCGTTTTTGTAAATATCATATATGTAATTCATATATATTCAATCTCGAATTCCTCATCCCTTTTCTGGATTCTGAAGGTAACTACTAATTCCTTGGTCTGACTTCTGAAATAGTTTGTTGCAAATATCATTAAGTGTGGTATCTCTAGTTTGTGAATCATTTATAATGTTTAGGCCGGAACAGGATGATTTATATCAGGGATGTTGCGAATATTCGCATCCGCATAGATTTGGACATCTGCATCCGCATCCGCAATAATCAATGCGGATGTTCAAGCGGATGCGAATGTTATACAAGGAGGACAACTAGGACTAAGGACATCAAGCTTCGTCAGAAAGCCATGCTTAAAAAACGACCTTGGGGGCATTCCACGTTACTCGGTAATTTTTGTCCCGCCCGTCACAATTAAAAATTGTGATAAAAACCATAAGTTATAAAATTAATATTTTATAATATTATTTTTATTGTGCTTATAACTTATTAAAAGCATAATAAAACAATATTTTTAAGTAAATTTTATAACGTGTAGTTTTTACTCACAATTTTTAATTTTTAATTTTAATCCCCGAGTAACGTGGAATGACCCCTTGCTATGATGTTAGATTCGTCAAGTGAAGATTAGAGTCAAGAAATACCAGAAAATTGTAGCATGCTACTGAGGCACTGAGGCTGTACTTAAAAAGGAATTACTTTCTTACCGCACTAAAAAAAGATTAAATGTGGATGAAAATCCTCTTAAATGGTGGAGTGTTCATCGAGAGGAATTTAAGCTATTATCACCGATAGCACGAAGATTTTTATCCACTCCACCAGGCAGTGTTCCTAGCAAATAATTAACAGAAAAGGCGGCAATATTACTCTTTATTAAGTATAATGCTCCTATTTTTAACTTCACTTACTAATATTAAAATAGGTAAGTGAAGTTAAAAAAAATAGGAGCATTATACTTGATACTAATTTTCATTACCAAGAATGTTGATAATTATTTTATTTTTTTTATTTGTTTTAATTCTTCATTCATATACTATATTTATATAAGATCTTAAACATCTGCATCCGCATCCGCGGATGTGAGCCTTCAAAAATCGTAAACAGCA